GTTAAAACGCTGAAAAATCAAATAAATGAGAATACAGAACGGATGGATAAATTTTACAGAAGGGAGACTCACTTACTTTTATAGAAGTTTTCAGTGGAAGGTATTGGAGCCAAACCTCTCTTTGATGACATTCACCCCTACCTCCACTTGCCAAGACAAAAAGGGGTGAAGGGAATAGTTCCTATGATAAGAGGACTTGCTTGTGGTCAACTGGGGGGCTTGATTTTGTTGCTCTGGACTGTCATCCCATCCTTGGTGCCTGTATATTAAACTGCTTTATTGCCTTGGCTTTCTTATTGCTGCTATGATGATGATGATGTTTGCTGTATGATGAATACAGCTGTCAAGAATTGATCCCCTTTTGTAAAGAAGTCATGGTTAAGGGTTTTCTTGGGTCTGTAGCCCAAATGTAACTTAGAAGCTCACATACTGTTAGTCACAGTGTCCCCTGAATCATACAATTCTTGTTTCCATCAGTTACGAAGACTTTGATTTAAGGCAGAGTTTAACAAGTTATGGCAATCATAACAGAAAGTTGAAAAAGGAAAGAAGCTCAATCTGCTCCTGAAATGTATTTAACTCTTTCTGCTGCAGCCTTTACCAACCAGCTGGGCTGGATGGAGTTACAGTCCAAAACATCTGGAGGGTGCCAGGTTGACAAAGGCTGTTCTGAGACATGAGCAGCTGGATGTTTTACCAAAACGTGACAGGGAATAAAGCAGCACAACATGAGCTCGTCTGTCAGGTACAGTTAACTGAAGCAACCTGCTATGATGCATTTTAAGACTGTTTTTCTTTGTCCCAGGTGAATACACTTCCTTTCTAATGCTCTGCAATGAATTTTTCTGTTGCAAACAATCATCTGAGGCAACACGATGGCCAGGATTTTGTTGACTTCACCCAGGGATCTGTCGTAACAAGAAAAGGAGATGGCCTTACCATGATCTCCATCATTGTTGCTGTTTTTGTCCTCTTGGCGATTATAATCATTGTGACTGTACATTATGGTCCAAAACTACGTACTATCCAGATCACTCTGTACCATGAGCCCATGCCACAAGACATGGATAATGGAGTCCAATTAAAAGACTGGAAGAAACTTGGTTCCCACAGAAAAAGCAGCATGCAATCTGCTCTGACATTGGAGAACAGCAATGCTTCTAGTCTGAACACTCAGTGTGCAAGTGGAGAGCCAAATGTGATAGAGATTACTTACTTGTGAAAAGGCCTCTGGTGTTTCCTGGCAGCCCCCAGGGAGTTTCGTCTGACATGGCAAAGCCCTGGTTGGTTTCTGGTGTACAGAGATAGGCATTGGCTCCCTTGTTTATTGGGGAATTTAGGTGATGAAACAAGAGGGACAACAGCTAAGGTGCAGAAAAGCTCGGGGTGAGCACTGGGGCCTCTTTGTAGCAGTGATAGCAATGAAGAAAAATTACTTATCTGCTATCATTGTGTCCATGCAGTGTCATCCAGTGACTAGAGACCTTTTTCATTTGCATCCCCAAGATGGATTTCCAGAGCCATTGGTGGCCTACTGTAACTCATTTGGGAAACATTTCACAGATAATACCACTCAGACCCCTACTAACTTGGATGACAACATTATGGGCAGTACAGATGAAAGTATGCTGCGGAAAGTGTGGCGCAGGCCCCGTATATTCAATTTTTGCCCGTTATGTTTAATAACATCTACATGATTTGGAATGATTAGCTGAATTCATTATACTTGATAACGGTGCCTTGAGAGATGCATGATCCTAGCATCTTCGAAGGTGGCAGCTGGGGGACCCCTTTTCAAAAAGTCCTCCTTGGACTTAGGTGATTTTTCTAAGTTTCTGTTGAACCCTAGGCCCACCCCCACCCCCCCTTCTTAGGCAAGTGCTCAAGCAGCTGGTAGCTGCCCAATTCCAAGAATTCGTGGAAGGAAGGGATTATCTGGGCCCTTTCTATTCCAGATGAAACAGTGGACATTCTGAACAGGTGCTGGGATGGGAGTTGGTAATAGTTTGATAGTAGAAAATAAAGTGAAGCTGAATCTGGACAATACTGTACTACCTTGAGATTCTATACCCTATGAGAGATCTATTAATTAGGCTTAGGCATTCTTATGTTGATACCTAACTCTCCATAGGATGTGACACTTAAACCAGCCTTCCTCAACCTGTTCCCTTCTGCTTGTGTGTCACCTGCATCCCTTCCTAAGCCACTTTTTGCCATGTTTTGATGCGATTCAAGTCAGCAGTGGGTAACCTACAGCATGTGCACCTAATTAGGCCTCCAAGGTCTCCCCATCTGGCCTGAAAGGTAGATTTTTTGGGGGACGACGCTTACCTGTGCATCACCTGACATATGATAGCAGGTGTTGGAGTGGTGAAGCCATAGCACCAGACTCCAGTGCACTCCACGAATGCCCCCAACCCTTCCTTTCCAGCCATTGCTTATTTTGGTACATTTTTCTGTTGCCTGAGTGCTGAGAAAGAGGAGTACCAAATTTAAAAAGTGCCAAATTGAAGCTAGAAAAGACAAATCAGGGTCACACACTCTTGATTTTTCCTTTGCAGCTGCAATTTGAATTCAAGCTGTGGCTGCAAAGGAAGAAAGACTCAGGTGTGCACATCCACACCTGCAGTCCAAGTAATAGTATCTCAATGCATTATATACCAGGTTGGGGAAGGAGGAGACAGATTATGTCACTAAGGATATTAGAGAGATGCCTGAGATGATGTAAGTTGACAACTGCATATAGACTTTCTTTTGTACAGCTGGCAGGGTCAAAAAGAAACTACATGTTCATGTAAAATATGGCTTGTTCCATTTGTAATACCTGCTGCTGTACTTTGGAGTTCCATATATCTATCTGTAATCAACACACCATTTCCACACCCAGTAAACTGATTGCCCTCTTGGTGATTGTTGTCATAGATATAGATGAATATAATGTATTGACTTACAATGTCCATAGTATTTCTTACCAGAGGTATCTGGCGACATTCTTTTTACTAGTTTCCAACCGAAAACAGCCTTGCAGTTACTGGTAAATTATTCACAAATATATAGTCTATTTCTTAAGCATTGAGAAGTGAGAGAAGTACAGGGGAGGAGGTGGGGAAAGAGACTTCCCCTGGTTTACACTTTCTTTGCACTCCCCTGTTCCCCTTTTATGTACAGATGTTTTCTCACCTCTGGAATTGTCATCCTTTCTTCACTCACTTGCCATGCAGCATAGAGAAATATTGCTGTCAAATTGCCAGTGTTTCTATGTTGTCCTGTGTTTTTCAGACTGGATTTGTGGTAAAAATTTTGCAAGTTCACTGTCTGCAGTGGCTTTTAACATACAATTCTTTGAAGCATCTCAAAGTAGCGGTACATCCCTGCTTTTGTTCAGGGTGTTTGCAACCCAAGGCTTACATTATCTTCTTGTAGGAATGGATTTAGACACTAGGAGAGGATATATAGTTTAGTTATTATCCTTCCTTGCTCACGTTAGTGAGATCAGCAGGGCACCATCCTTTGCAGCTTAACTTGGAAGCTAAGACAAGGTGGATTTAACCTTCTAGAAACAATAATCCACGATGCTTTAAGGCAGACTGGATTTTTCTTGGTATTACTCCATTTCTCCCTCTTAAAAACAACAATCACACACACATTGTTTTGTGAAGAAATAAAAGTAGTATTTACTTACACAGTCTAGGTCTTGAAGCAGCAGTTACAGCAGCAAAATGAAGGCAGGTTTAGAACTACTAAGTTACAAAAGTACAAAAATATAAGTTTCAAAAATGGTGTCTGAGCTGCCTAGACAGGAAGGAAATATGTAGTATTACAGCTTCCTGCCAAGGCAGACAAAGGAAGTGATCTCACAGAATTTTCTCTAGCAAATATTACAAGAAAGCTCTAAACATGTCAAGTGGAGGAACAAAAACAGGAATTGAAACTGACATTGGGGCAATCTGAGAAAATATTCAAGGGGTAATTAAGAGGCTATTCATCACTCATTCCTCAACTGGAAACAACAGGAATCCAGGGTAGGCTTTTATTTGTTGCTAGATATATTTGCGGAATTAAACTTACTTTGCAGCAAGCATTATAAAAGCGTCTTGGCCATGAGAAAGGGCACTGCCACATCTTAAAGCCACAAATGAAAGCATTTCCTCAGCCTATCTAGTGGCTCTAGTGTGGATCCAGCCTCTTACACCACACCCACCTGTTTTCTCCTATACAAATACTCAGCCCCCCCTCTCTCACACATAGCTACTAGCTTCTGATTAGCCAGCAAACAGAAGAGAGGAAACTGTTCTAATGGATACTACCAGCAGAAGAGGAGACTGGCCCTCTCTTCTCTATTCTGGTAGTGTTCGGTTAGAAAGGCTCTCATTGGATTCTACCAGTAGAGAGAAGAGAAGACAGCATTGATCACTGTTACTTTCAGAAAGAGCATGCTCCATGTAGAGGCAAAGCCACACAGACTCTCATCCTCTGGATTACTATTTTGGTAACCTTAATGATTCAAAACAATAATTGGTTGCTAGGAGAGAAACAAACTCTTTGGTTAAACAAACAAAACCTGGACATATATTTTTCATAGCTTTTAGGTATGAAGTCCTCACAGATTTCATGGTATCTTAGAAAAATAGGCCTTGATATTAAGTCAGGGGGAAAGCTGTTTTCTTATCTCATCACCTTTGGCCATAATATTTGGAACAACTTTGAAGAAACAGAAGAAGAGGCAGAAGGGAGAAAGGCATCAAAGGAAGCCACACATTCATATGAAAGAACAATCCATAAATGTTTGTCTTATTCCAACATATATCCATGCCCACAAAGTCTCAGAGGTGGCCCTGCCTCAATTTTTACCAACATCTTCATGCTTTCTAAAAGGGTTTTAGGTCTTGTTGGGGTCAGTCTGCATGTATTAAAATTTGGTACTATTAGGTTTCATCTGGAAGCAATCCTCATGATTTCCACAAGAAGGGACATGGAGCTGTGAGATGGGGGCCATTATTTCAGTAGCCAAAACTATGCAAAGACATGGGATGATCAGAGCCACTAATCAGGAGCTGAGTCCCGTTTGATTCAGCATTATGTATGCTGCCTTCATACTTTTCATCCATGGTATACTCCTCCTGGAGCTCCTGTTCCATGTGTCTTAGGATAGTCTTGGACAGGAAGTGCTTGTCATTTTCTTCTGAATCTGGGAAAACAAAACCAGTTGTGACTGCACTGGTCTTTTCATAGGAAAATGTGAAGCCCTGCAGCTAACTGCTAGAAGAGCACTCTCAGTTGCATCAAGACAGATAGCTGTGTTATCTTTTCAAGTCTATCTATTACTACCCTGATTTGATTTGATTTTGCCTCAGAAACTTTAGGTAGAGTGTGTGGTAAAGATCTATGTATCAACAGCACCATCCTGGTGGCACTGCAGCCCTTGAATTGCCAACTGCACCAACAATCATTCCCAGGAACTGCATAGATCTCTAAGGTGGATCTGTAGCATGATGAAGATCTCACAATATGCTTGCAGGAAGCCGGAGTACAGAACTCGCATGTTAGAAAAGCCTCATTAACTCTGCAGCAGGTGGTCTCAAAATTTGGTCACAGCACGCAATCCCTAATCCAGAAAACAATGATGTTGACTTCCGTCTGTGTGTTTCAAGTGCAATCTTTTCCACTCCTTTACAAAGTTAAAAACCAAAGTGCTAGAATGGTACATTATATTCATGCTTAATTTTTAACTGCCACTGACACCTTGTTGGAGGATATCCAACAAAGCGTCTTCCTTTCTAGGAGGTTTTTCTATCTTGCCCAAACACTGGTTATTTCTTATCACATGGTTGAGAAATCCCTTGTGCACTTTCGTTTTGTCATAATATAGGTAAGCCTGCCATCCTTCCACTTAGCTTTTCTTGGAAATCACTAACAGATTCTCTTCACGCAGCTCTGTGCCACTTCAGGTTACGTTTCCTTTCTTATCCAATTATTTTCTTTAGTTGTCAAGTCTTTTTTTTTCAGGTTTCTCTAGTCCCCCCCCCTTCAGTCTCGACCTGGGTCTTTGTTTCCAGGGGTGCTGCCACTACTCGAGTCACGTCCAGGGCTTTCTGTCACAGAAGGAGTTTAGGCCCCTTTCTACCCTCTCCGGCCCCCTTCCAAATTGCCAGGGGTTTGGTAGGGAGACCAGGCAGCACTGTGGGGTGCTTTTAGAGGCTCTGGTTTATCTCCAGAGCTTTTGGGGAGGTGTGGAGCCCACGCTTTACTCCTCTCTCCCTCTGCAGTAGCCTGATCTCGCTCAGAGCAAGCGTAACGAGCTGTGATCTCTTTGCGTGGTAGACCGGAAGTCTGAGTTTTTGATATATGTTATCTCATAAAAAAGGATGTCTTGTTCTTATTAAGAGAAATTCAAAAGGCAAAAATGAAATATGCCAGAATATACAGCTGAATATTTAAAAAACCTTTCATCACATACAGTAGGTACATTCAAGGGGGGGGGGGGAGGTAAAGATAAAAGACCCCTGGATGGCTAAGTCCAGTCAAAGGCGACTATGGGGTTGCGGCACTCATCTCACTTTTCAGGCCGAGGGAGCCAGCGTTTGTCTACAGACAGCTTTCCGGATCATGTGGCCAGCATGACTAAATCAATTCTGGTGCGACGGAACACCATGACGGAAGCCAGAATGCACAGAAATTCCTGCTGCAGCAGTACCTATTTATCTACTTGCAGTGGTGTGCTTTCAAACTACTAGGTTGGTAGGAGCTGGGACAGAGCAATGGGAGCTCATCTCATCACAGGGATTCGAACCGCCGACCTTCTGATCAGCAAGCCCAAGAGGCTCAGTGGTTTAGACCACAATGCCACCCGCTCCCTAGATTCACAGAAAGCAGTATCATTGAGTAGTGATTTCAGCACTGTTTATGACTCACTGAGTAACTGCTCTAAGGGAATGTACATTTATTTGCAAAAGTATTCATGTATCTCAGTAAAGCACAAGATTGTATGAAAATGTATCTATGTGGTACACAAAATCTTAATTAAAACCAAAACCAAATAACAAATACCACTCCAATATCAAAGGTAGAAACTATACATTCTCTTTATAGAAAGTGTGCTTTCTCACTCAATAATCATAATTTTGATTACAAAAACGTTTTGCAGAATTCAGCTGAGAAAACAAAGGTGAATCCATTCTGTGTGCAAGCCATCCCTACATATCTTCCTTAGTAGGTGAGGCAAGACAGAGAGAGTTCAACTGGCTACAGGTACCCAGGACAAAGATCTCATGGCCGTAGTTCACTAAAAACATCAATTAGATTAAGATGCTTTCCAATGTGCTAAATCTTTATGTGCATTTGTATTCCTATAGCCTTGCTGCTGCACATTAAACTCTCTGGATCTAGGCAGAAATCCAGCCTGAGATGAGAAGAGAATAATAAATCTATGACCTTCTAAAACCACAGGCAGAAGACATAAGAACAGAGAGGAAGCTCTTTCTGAGTTCCCAAAGCACACTGAGATCAGGTCTTTTCTGGTGTAGAAAGAAAGGCTCTACCTGCCACAGGATCCCTTCCTGGAACTAAGCTTGTAGCCTCCTCCTTGCCCCCACCACTCCAAAACAAATTGCCAGACTGTCATCCCATTTCTTACCATCATATACAATGAGCCGGTAGCAGCCAGAACAGTATTTAGATCTCTGTAAGATTTCTTCCAGTGCTCTGCAGAAAAGCTTGGCTTGTTCCAAACGGTCTTGATAGCTGAAGGCAGCACTTTCATCTTGGGACATGGCAAAGAGGGACCGCAGAGGAGTGGCATACTCCATAACACAAAAATGTTTCTAGAGGAATGGGGAGAAGGGCAATCCCAGTGTTATCAGGGTGGCATTTAGACTATTGTTTGAGGAATTGCTGGTTGCTTTCACATCAGCACTAACATTCTCAGAAGTGTTACTTCATAATCTGTAAAAAGGTAAAGCACCGCTGATGGTTAGGTCCAGTCGCGGACGACTCTGGGGTTGCGGCGCTCATCTTGCTCTATAGGCCAAGGGAGCCGGCACTGGTCCGCAGTCAGCTTCCAGGTCATGTGGCCAGCATGACTAAGCCGCTTCTGGTGAACCAGAGCAATGCACGGTAACGCTGTTTACCTTCCCGCCGGAGCGGTACCTATTGATCTACTTGCACTTTGACGTGCTTTCGAACTGCTAGGTTGGGAGGAGCAGGGACCGAGCAACGGGAGCTCACCCCGTCGCGGGGATTCGAACCGCTGACCTTCTGATCAGCAAGCCCTAGGCTCAGTGGTTTAGACCACAGCGCCACCCATGTCCCTTCATAATCTGTACCAGAACCTAAAAACCTGCATAGGAGGTGAAGATGCCTTGGTCAACCTTCACTGGAAGATAACTATAGGGAATGTGATCATGTCAGTTCTCCTAGACTTCTTTGTAGTTTTTGATACTAGCAACTATGCTTTGCTTCTGAACTGATTAGTGGGCTTGAGAGTGAGGACTCTATTTGGGGAATCCCACTCCTATCTGACTAGATGTCTCCAGAAGGTGGTGCTGGAGGACAGAAGTGATGTCTAGAGAGAATTATTCTGAGGGATTCATGAAAAGTTTCATCTTGTCTCCCATGTTATTTATAATCTGCATATAACTAATGGCAGAAGTTGTTGAGTTTCAGGCAAATTCCTTTTTAAAATATGATAAATTCAACACCTATTGTCACTCTAAGACTTTTTTAATACAGAAGCATACCTCTTTGTTTTCACCCAATATCCCATAGATACTATTTTTGTAGCTTCTTTTTTTAATGCCAGCAACATCCATGTTCAATTCTGGGAGATTCTTTATGAAGTGAATATGACTGTCAACCGTCTGCAGGTCATCACACACATCGCAGCTCAGGGGAATCAATATGTGCAATTTCCAAGTCTTCTCGCAATTCAGCAAATGGCTGTTGCTTTGGTTGAACTCTCTAATCCGATCTTTGAGGCCTTCAAAACAAAACCGCATTAAGGAAAGACAGCTGGATGGAGACAGTAAGATTACATTAGTACTTTAAGAAGCTTCTCACTTTCTCTATAGCCAGGGATGGGAATTTGCAGAGCATCTGTACACATTGAATGGAATTCTGTACTGTTTGTCAGATTCTCCAATTTTGGCTACAAAGCCAAAAATGGGAGACTCTGACAAATGGTACAGAATTCCTACACTGATGTGAATGGGAAAACACAGGTATGCAGAAGTTCCTTGTATGAGTTCTATCTGCCTGAGCATATACTCATGACCAGTGCTTTTTTTCTTTAAAAAATGTTTAGGGGTACTCTGATTTCCCTACTCATATTGAAATACTGTCCCTCAATGAGGCCAAACCTAAGATTCACAAAATGTTTAGGGGTATGCGTACCCCAGAAAAAAGCACTGCTCAAGACACTGCACTCTACAGAAAACAGGCATTTTCTGCTGTTGCCTCTGTCCTGTGGACGACTCTTCCCTCTGCCCTATGCGAAGCAACAACCACCAGTTGTTTGTCTTGGGAAAGCTTCCCTTCACCCGTAAGATTGCGCCATGTTTCATGTGTTTGGAGTCCTCTGAATGTCTGTTTTTAAATAAATAAATAAAGCATGTGTATTGCACTGATTATCTGCAAAAGGCTTCAGTGCCTTTGGAATGAAGCTTCTGCGCTCTGTATGACTACACACCCTTTCTTCCGAACCACATATCACTTTTCCAAAATACAACGATGGACACCATTTACCCATATCTGTCTTCATATTCCACTCTTCTTTGTGTACAAGAGGGGAGCCCCAGCTGATGAAGTAACTTGATCCCAGGGACAAAGCACTACTGTAACTGCTGAGTGATTTTATTCTGCTGAACCTTTTGGCATTTTTTTCTATTTTTTGCTCTTGCATCGGATCAGAACAGGATATTGTATGGAGATTTGGAAATATAATAACTGCTACCTTAGACTTAGTAGCTAATGTAACTAACTGCTTTTGTGGTGGGAATCCAAAATAAATAATAAAAATTCATGATATAACCTACTAGTGTATACATGTTGAATCTGAATTTCTTTGGTGCAGAATTCTGGACATTATAATTCATTTTATATCACTGGCTAATGGAGAAGACCACTCACAATGGATACTCACCAGGCAAAATGAATTTTAAATACCCAACGTAATATGACCAGGCAAGTCCTTGTGCAACATTGCAGTTGTTTCTCTCATACATTTCAGAAAGCTCGGCAGCTGATGGATGCTGCAGATGGAAAAGAAAAAGCTGTAATCATACGTTACCACGTGCAAAGCACAGCTCTCATCCCACCTCAATTGACTTCTGTTATAAAGCTCAGGGGAAAGCAGAACCCAGATCTGGGACAACAACTTGCTGCACAAGTATGAGGCATGATAAGATGCAGCAGGCCATACAAACACATGCTAAAAGGCCATTTCCCAACATTCTGCCACTCTAGTCACGTGACTACTCAGTTGTAGAGTGGACTCATATTGAGATGGACCACCTTTAAGGTTTGGAGGCCTTGCAAAGATTGATAGGCTAAGACTTGCACCTAGGACAGGGCCCACATATTATAGGCTTTCTGAGAAGTGTAACTTGATTCATTTATTTAGATACATTTAATACAGCTTTCCCACAAAGCTCAAAGCAGCTTACATGAAACAGCAGGGAATCAACTATTAGATGAATTAAAAGATTGCTTAATGACCCATGACTGCTACCTCAAGGTCAAAGACAAAGTTTAAAAGTTGGCAGAAGCACACAATGATCAGGTCCCGACGGTCAGATTCTTTGAGATGCAGGTAGGCTACTCCACACAGCAGGAGAAATAGGAAAGAACGTTTGCGTAGCTCTAGGCAAGCATTCAGGGCCCTTAAGTAGCTCCCATGGTACCTATGGGAGAGAAATTGATGAGGTGATATAATGTGACAGAACACCACAAAGTGCCCTCCTTCCTGAGACCCCTGTTTTGCAGGGATGAGCCAAACATCCTATTGCAACGTCCCTTGACCCCAAGTATTTCAGTATTCTGTGTGCTTACTCTCCACACAATAAGCATTCACATCTGAAAAGGTCTACAAATCCTTGCAAACGGCAGGCAGGCATGCTACCACATCTGGTGTCAGAGTGTGGGGCACCTAATGTAACGGACCAGAAAACCAGTGCTCATCCATGGAGATGTAGACCCAGAGGACAGCACTGAAGTGAAAACAATGCAGCTTCAGAGGTGAAAGTGATGATCTGTCAGAGCTACGATGAGTGATGAAAATGGTCTCTTCCTTGGAACTCAGTTTTATCACTCCAGGTGTTCGGTGCATATATAGGGGGGGGGGGGGAATTCCTGGATGCCAAGTTTGGGATAAGTACTTTTTGGTGAGAGAACCCCAGTAGAGATTTAAAGTGTGGAATTATAGGCTATTAGACTTTTTAAAATATGGGCCCTTCCAAGTGAGTTCTAAAATGTCTCCTTAAAAGTTCCTTAAAAGTTTCCCTCTTCCCCCAGCATAGGAAAAGACCACACATTTGGTAAGTTAAAAAATGGTTTACTTACAAACTCTTCAAAGGTCAGGTTCATGTGCTTCAAAGAAAACTTGGCTTAGTTGCAAAGTGGTGAAAGTCTTGGGGGTGGGGAGAGATTTCAGCCAGAAGACCGGGGGGACGTCGTTCCAGCACCTTTTAAAATTAATTACCAGTATTTTCGCTCCATAGGACTCACTTTCCCTTCAAAAATGAAGGGAAAATGTGTGTGCGTCCTATGGAGCGAAGACGCCATAGCCCCGCGACCCTCTCCCGGCTGGAGAGGTGACGGGCGGCTATGGCAGGAGCCTCTACAGCCCCGCGTCACCTCTCCAGCCAGGAGAGCGCGCGCGGGGCTAAAGCAGCCCCCCGCGACCCTCTCCCGGCTGGAGAGGTGATGCGCGGCTATTGAGGCTCTTGCCATAGCCGCGCGTCACCTCTTCAGCCGGGAGAGCGCGCGGGGCTAAGCAGCCCTCGCGACCCTCTCCCGGCTGGAGAGGTGACGCGGCTATTGAGGCTCCTGCCATAGCCGTGCGTCACCTCTCCAGCCGGGAGAGCGCGCGTGGGCTAAGAAGCCATAGCCCCGCGACCCTCTCCCGGCTGGAGAGGTGACGCACGGCTATGGCAGGAGCCTCTCCGCTGCTCCTGAACTGCTCTTTGGGGCTGGTGGTGGGCTTCCCCCCGCCAGCCCCAAAGAGCAGGTCGAAAGGAACCTGAAGCCTGGAGAGCGAGAGGGGTCAGTGCACACCGACCCCTCTCGCTCTCCAGGCTCCAAGGTAGCCGCCTGAACGCACCTTAAGCGGCACCTTGTTTTAGAGCGGGAAAACAAGAGGGGAAAGTTCTCCCCTCTCTGCACAGCGCCTCCTGCCACTTCGCTGAAGGGGCGCTGGGCAGAGAGGGGAGAATTTTTTTCTTGTTCTCCCCTCTAAAACAAAGTGCGTCCTATTGTCCGGTGCGTCCTATGGTGCGAAAAATACGGTATTTCCCCCCCTTCTGCTTACCCAGTAAAGGAAGTCCCCAGACTGATTGATCAACCCAATCCCCATTGGAGTCCCTTTCCTGTGGTTCTGTGCAGCAAATCCCACCCACTCTTCCTTCCTGCCCAGTGCTCCTTTTGCTCGAGATTCAAATTGCTGCCTGGTGCCTGAGCGAACTGCTGCAGCTTGCAGGGTCAGCTGCCTGGCACTGTGGGTGCAGGAGGAGAAATGCCTCCTCACACAAATCTGGAGTACAGCTGCTGCCTTCCAACACTCCCTCTCTGCCCTGTGTCTGCCCTGCCTGACTTACTCTTGCAAGGCTTCCTCCTCTCCTGCCGCTGCTGCAGTTGGAAAGAGCCAGAGCGAGGGAGGGAGGGAGGGAGCAGCCGTAGCAAGCAGCTCAGGCACTTGGGGCAGGCATGAGGCGGGGTGAGCTGGGGCAGGGTGCGCTGCTGGAACTGTCCCTCCCAGCGCCCTCCAGCTGGAGGGCCGCTGAACAGGAGGCAGTGTGCTTGGCTGGCCCAGCGCTGTCCACAAAAGCAGCGCAGGGCCAGGGCTTGAACCACCATGTTCCTGCAGGGCACCTTGCAGCTGGCGGCTGAGAAGGTGGCGGCGGGCAGATGTCAGCCCATGCTGCCTTCGCCTGCAGGTGCCCAATCCACCGCATCACTCCCAGGAGAGACCCGAGGCTCGGATGCGCTGCAGGCGGGGTAGTTGCACCCCTTCCAGCTGCCCTCAGGCAGCCGGAGGCTGGGGAACGCAGCCACCCAGCACACTGGGAGCTGAGCCCTGGGCCATGCTGATTTGGGGCTGAGCTTCTCATGTAGACTGGAAGGTGAACAATAGGCTTGGTTACCTATATCCTCCCAAGGTATGGGCAGTGGACATAGCTAAACCTGGCAAGACAGCTTACTCTATGGCCTTAACCCCTTCATTAAGCATGCTTGTTATATGCTGGTAATCCCACACCATAGTCTACTAGGTATCCAAGTTCTCATGGGTCTGATATGGTTCAAACTACCAGAGAGAAAATACTTTAGCGTGAGAAGGCAGGATTCACCTTCGGAGTACCATCAGGGCAATGAGTACTTCCACTTGGTCAACTGGGCTCTCCCTCCTTCCCTGGGCCGCCTGGTGCCTCTAAAATCAGGAGGACCCCCAAACAAGCACACAAGGGGAGGGGAGGAGGAATCTGGTTAGCTGCAACGCTTGGGGCGAGGCCAAATTCAGCATCCTAAAACTAAAAACAATATATGTCTCACTATCCATCCTCTTATATATTCAGCTTCTCCCTTCCTTTCTTCCTTATCAGATCTTTGCTGCTACCAAGCAAGGACCAAGCCTCATTGGGTGAGTCTTCACCTCAAGGCTTATCATGCCTCCATTTCTCTTTTCTCTGTTCTGCTACTGCCAATCAGCTGGCTTTTGGTGTCCTTGAACAACAACTGTCATCCCCACACCATCATGCAAACATCCATCAGTATGTCCCATTATTTCCGCAGCTTTATCACCTGGATGTCACATGACGCAGCTCTTCTGCAAAGTTGCAGGCCCCTGACACAGCGCTCCAACCTGCAGGGCTGTGAAATGGATGACAATGTGACGGAAGACAAGGTCTAGGCTCTGCTCAGTGAGGCACAGGAAACAGACACACAGGGCAAGGAAGAGGTAGCTCACATGCCGCGCTCGATTTCCCCGAGGTCTGGGGATAAGAGAGGGAGATATGTCGCTAGGTTGTTCCTCCTTATAAGGCATCACACCTGCAACACATACAAAAGCACAAATTGGCCTTCTTATCAAGTGGATGCTCAGCAGACAGCTCCCATCTCTAGCTCCTCAAAGTGAGATAACCAAGTCAATCTAAATCCTCAGACAATAGCCTAGAGCAGTGGTTCTCAACTAGTGTGCCGGGGCACCCTGGGGTGCCTTGAATGATGGTCAGGGGTGCTGTGGGCAACACTGGCCTCTGTCCCTCTTTCCTTCCCTCCCTTCTCTGGGGCCCTCTCACTTCTCTTCCTCCCAAAGGCTTGCACGACTGTTTGCTGCAGCAGCTGCCCTGGCTACAACCTCAGCAGCTGAATGGTGCCTCTGGGGCTGGCCAGGGGGTGCTTCCCAGGCCCCTGTGGGGCAGTGTGAGGAGGCACCTTTCTTTGGGGCAGGGGGAGCAGCTCAGAGACCAGGAGCAGCAGCTGAGGCTGCCCATAGGACTCCCAAGGAGAGGGGGGAGGAGAGGAGGCTGAGGGAACTCTCCACAAGGGAGGGTCTTTGAAAAAGGTGAGAGGCTGCCAGCTCTGCAGGCAAGGGGTGACGTAACTGGGCCCCTGAGCCCCGCAGGGGTGTCACAGACAGAATGTAGTTAGTCAAGGGAGCCGTGGACCCAAAAAGGTTAAAAATCTCTGGCCAAGAGATTCTGAGCCAGAAATATGTTCCTCAAACGCTGGAGTAACACTCAGTGGGAGAATCACAAGTCGTTCCCCTTCCCTTTCTTAACAATGCAGCAGGGCTAGGAGGGCAATAATGGGCTAGCCAGTTCCCATCTGCTCTTGGGGTTGGTTCTCTTCATCCTGCTGTCTTTTCCCCAGCTCTGCTTCTTAGTTCCTTATCCTTTTGAAACCCTCCTGCTCCCCCTTATTAGGGACAGCTGAAACCGCCACCAGAAGTACTGCATAAAGTGGCCTTCAGCTGTGAATCTAATGTTGAATTTGAAGGTCCAATAGAATTTACTTATAAGTGTATGGCATAGGCAAGATTTGGGAGATCATAGGTAACCCCCCCCCTCCCACGAGGACATTATGGGAGGCCAGCTTTTGTTTGGGGGACCGGCTTCTGCTGGGTGGTGGTGGTGGTGGCAGAACTTCAGTTAACTGAGTATTTTCAATGCCACACTTTTAATATTTTGTGGGGGAAGTACCCTTCAGAACCCGAACAAAGCAGCACTGGCTGTGGCTTGTTTCCACTGATGTTTCGGGTATATCTGTTGTTTCCTCCCCGCCCCACCTCAGCTCATTTGGCATAGAATTTGGTCTGTTTTCCTTGATAAGGCTTTCCCCTTATGTAGGGCCTTGTTCTGATGCTGAGATGGTAGATTGCCTGCTGTGGATTGATGGACATATGGTTGGAGATGGCTTGCTGCAAATGTGCATTTTGCTACATTTTAATTGTTCTGATTATATTTTCCTTTTTTTTTGTTTTTTTACTGTTTCTGTAGCCTGCCCTGGGATCATGTAATTTAAGAATACAATATAAGTGCAATAAATATTATGATGACATTAATAAACAAGTGTGATTGCCTCTAACAGTAAAGTCTCACCCCAAATATGACTGTTTTGTTTGAATGATTCATTGACTTGAAAGCAGAGGTTCTGTATGTTGTTAATAAAAGCATAATTAAAAATAAAATACAATAAAGTGCCACCAGAAAAGCAAATAGATAGATAAATAAATAAATGTGATAATAAGTTTGTTTGTTTGTTTGTTTGTTTGTTTAAAACTATACACTGTTTGATTGTAAAAGAGTCAAAGCAGTTTACAAAAGATAAAACATTAAAACCAGAAATATTCACAGCCCTACTTTAAAACATACAAAAGTTAAAATACTAAAATAGATTAAAATCACCTCAACTTTCTAAGCATCTGGATAGGTTGGTCTAAACAGGAATGTTTTTAGCATAATAATAATAATAATCCATAGTAATAATCCATAATAATAATAATACAGTAATGACTTGCCTCCTGCACTGCTATTTCATTCACACAGCAGACTTTCACTTTCACAGTGGAACTTTCCTCTCCTCTGCAGCCCCCACCCCCACCTCAAAATCTGCTCTAGGGGGTTGGGGGATCCTCCAGAGCAGATTTGGGGAACACAGATGATGAGGAAAAGAGGCAAAAGTCCTGCTGCAAAAGCAGAAATCCATCCCTGCAGCATCTGATACAACCGAATAATATTGGTGGCATTGGCCTTTCTCCAAACTCAGCTACTCCTAAATAGAGCCCCTCACAAATAACTCGTCCAGATTGCCATTCCAGCAGCAAGTTAACTGGCAGCCTCCCTGTAAGCAGATCTGCTTGAAAGGCTGGGCTCCATCAGCCCATGCTTCTAGGCTGGAACCTGAAAGCAGCTTTTGGTTTCATTAGTTTCACTCAGGAGTTTCATTCAGCTCATTTTGCAGCCCATAACCAACACTAGCAAATAATCAGTAGCCATTCTCCCCTGCCCAGAAGAGGTGGGAACTCCATTCAGCCACACTCACCAGTCTGTTGAAGCAGCGCTGTGAGGAGGGTCTCAATCCTGATGTTTCAGTCTGCTTCTCTTCTGCGGCTGTGGGTGGTTACTGGACTTTGTTTTTTTACAAAATTGCAGCTTAGGCAAAATTGCAGCTTAGGCAATTTGAGGTAGAAAAAGAGCTCTGATTCATCAGCTGAGAAATGTACGAATCAGTAAGACACAAAAATGAGGAAGGGTGGGGTTTGTTGTAATGAATAATTTTATTTGAAGGAAATGGTTTCGATGATAATGAAAGTAAAACTAGCAAATGGAACCTGTCCAATCCCAGTGCCTCATCATAAGAACTCCAGAAATGAGAGGTCTAGCTAACTGCATTGTGCTCCCTCATCACTCCTTAAAAAGACTAGATGTACTAGCTAGGGAACAAAGATTTCTCCATAGGGAGCTGTACAACACCGCAAGGCCTGTTCAGTACACCCTACACTGTGCTCATTCATTTATTTATTTAAATAATTTTTATTAAGTTTTCAATAAAAAGGTAAAGGTAAAGGACCCCTGACCGTTAAGTCTAGTCGCAGACGACTGTGGGGTTACGGCACTCATCTTGCTTTACTGGCCGAGGGAGCCGGTGTTTGTCCGCAGACAGTTTTTCTGGGTCATGTGGCCAGCATGACTAAGCTGCTTCTGATGCAACCAGAGCAGTGCATGGAAACGCCGTTTACCTTCCCACTAGAGCAGTACCTATTTATCTACTTGCAATTTTTTGGCGTGCTTTCGAACTGCTAGGTTGGCAGGAGCAGGAACCGAGCACCGGGAGCTCACCCTGTCACAGGGATTCGAACCACCGACCTTTTGATCAAGCAACCGAAGGCTCAGTTGTTTAGACCACAGTGCTACCTGCGTCCCTACAAGTTTTCAATATAACCATTCAAATCAGTTTTCCACTTTTACATTAATAAAAAATTATTTACTCTGTTGAATTTATCTTAGTGCTGGTAGTGTTTTCAGCTGTATACAGTACAGCTATTTCCCATATATTCAATAAATGTTTACTGCTCTTCTTTAAATATTGGTTCTTCTTGCTCTCTTATTCTATGTGTTAAATCCGCAAGTTCTGCATATTGTCAACTTAAGTTGTCAATCCTCTTTTGTTGGGAGGACTGCATATTTATGCATGCGGTGTGTTTTGTTAGCCCCAAAATGGAAAGGGAGCGAGGTCCCAACACCCTGTGCTCTTTTAGACCTGCAGGACAGAGTAAGGAAGCACAGCTGCAGCCGTCCCACTTGGAAGGCCAGCCTGCCAACTTGGAGTGCCTAGAACTGTAAAGCAGGGTTCCCTTGGGGAAATACTTTGTTGTCAATAGAGTCATGTTACATTCTACCTCACCATGAGTTCTCCAGTATACTTAGTGCAGAAACCAACTGCTATTGACTAGTTCATAGCTATTTTTAAAATGTTTATTCCATTGATAGGCCAACTTTAAAGTAGTAAAAAAGAAATCCTGAGGCAGGTATATGTTGCCTAGGTTACATGTACACGATGCATGTAAAGCACATTGAAAGCAGAGTATTTCCCCAAAGAATCCTGGGAAGTGGTTTGTTAAAGGTGCTGAGGGGTAAGCTATAGTTCTAGGATTCTTTGGGTGCTTTCAATGTACAGTGTGGACTCACGTCTAGTCCTCTCTCCTTCTCAGCTTCTGGGGAAGTTAACCCACCCGTCATGGCAAGGGATCCCAGGGTGGGTTACAATAACTCAATTTGAAAATAATGTCCATCGGTACAATAATTTAAAAATAACATCTGTCAGCACAGTAATATAAGAACCTATAAAGGCACAATGAGACTACCTTTTCAAACTACTAAAACCATTACATCTCACATCTTAGAATCAACAGCTAGCCTCATACAAATGCCTGAGCAAATATACATGTTTTGCTTGGTGCTGGAATGTAGAGAGAAAGTGTCACCTGTACCTCAGAAGGAAGGTATTGTGTGAGAGAAGGCATCAGAGGCCATTCTGTCACGGAAACAAGTATTTTCATTTGTTGGTCTTTGATCCCCTGCCAATCAATTTAATTGACTGAATGTCAAATCTAGTTTATGGAAAGAGTGAGAGAGAAAAAGATATCTCTGCCCGCATCATTCGGAAATGTATAAACCTCTGTTATGCCGCCTGGTTTCTGTTGAACTAGTACAGAAATCTCCAGTCTCAAATCCATATAAGACAACTACACAATCTAGCATTTTGTAGATTTATATTGTTACTCTCATTCTAATCTTATTTTCTTATATATGCTTAGTTTCCTGTTTATTGTTTGTTTACTATTCGATAAATATATTTATTGCAAAATATATTCTTTCATGAGCCAGCTCAGTTGGGGCTCAGCCTGCTGAGTTGAGACCACTATAAAGCTCCCAAAAGTGGTGTTCTGGGGGGAGGACCAGAGAGGGACTTTGGCTGGATCGTAAGCTTGTTCAGCTCAGGCACGTAGCCTGGCAGCCTGGCATAGAGCACTATTTTAAAGGGTTGTTTTCCCTCTGCCCCACTGCTGATCAGGGTTTGGATCTGGTGTAACTTTACACCAGCTTAATTTACATGGGCTTGGGCTTACTTTATACCAACCTCTTGGACATAGGATTGCTCTGTGTGTGTGGTATTCTTGACTGGTGTGACAATATAATTGAATAAAATATTTGGTACTGCTCAGCCTCATTCTTCTGCAGTAATAAGTCTCACCTTACAGAGTTTTTGCAAAGCTTACAAGAAGAGAACTCGAAGTGTTATAGAAATGTGTTGTTCTGTCATCTGCATAGTTTTGCAAGTTTACCCTTGCTTTTCTTCTTTCCACGATAAAACCCATGATTAATTTCTGTAGATGCTGTATGGATTGAGCAACTAACAAAACGTAGAGAACCAAAATAGGGCTTTAGAACATAATCTCACTTTTTGCACGGAAGCAACATGCTGACCACATGCTGACGAGGAAAGATTCGGTTCCTTAAACCGGTTTAGATCAAACTTAATCTGTTCATTCATGTCAAGTTGTGTTAGTGCAGGTTCCATTCTTGGGCAATGTCAAGGGTAGCACTCCCAAGATTCTGAGCCCCCACAAACCTCCAAAGTCTTTCTCCTATCACCAACAGTCATTATCAATATTGTTGCATGCCATCCCAATCTCTGAGCAGTGTGAAATGCCAAAGGTTTCCGGCACTTACCCACGGTTCGTGTTTCCTTTTGGAATGAGGCACAATGGAGACTGTGGGGTCTTTATGATATATGGTTTACTTACAATATATACATCCTGACACTATGATGGAGGCATCCACGACATTAAGACCCCAAGAGGGTCTGCTCCTCCCATAGCCACAGTCATGGGTGTAGCCAGGATTTATGGGGGGGGGCATTATTTTTGGGAGGGCATAACTGAGTTATCTGTGATGCAATTGGTGTTAGTTAAGTATTTTTATTTATTTACTGGATTTAGAGGGGGCAGCTGTCCCGCTGTCCCCTGGCTAGGCCCATGGTCACAGCCTTGGATTCAAACAAAAATCAAGCCCCCCCCAGGCTTCTGCTTGCTTCCTCTCCAGTTTCTAACTTACACACCCACCCACCCTCAACTCTGGCCTTTTGTCTTTCTAACTACCAGTGGGTTGAGGAAGGGGTCCCATCCCTTTGCCATCCCACACAAATCCACTTCCTTTGCTCCCCTTAATAGCCCATCATCTCACCTAGGAGCTAGTTTGGCGATTCCAAGAATTAGAAGGGGGCACAGGCATTCAGACTAACCACATTACCCAAAAACTAACACTACCTTTCTTCTAACTGAGTGGCTCCTAGATGCTTCTGCCCATCTCATCTGATTAGCCAATCAAAATAATCATTACCAGTAGGTCCCACTTCTGCCTCCAGCATCTCTCTTCCATAGAAATGGCCTTGTTGGGGCGGTGGATTATTTTGCTCATTCCCCTCGTGTTTTCTCTTTGTAAGAACGCAATTACAGTGGTGCCTCTGGTTACGAACTTAATTCATTCTGGAGGTCCGTTCTTAAGCTGAAACCGTTCTTATCCTGAGGCGCACTTTTGCTAATGGGGCCTCTGGCGTGCAATTTCCATTCGCATCCTGGGGCAAAGTTCACAACCAGGAGCACCAGGAAGTTAGCGGAGCTCGTAACCTGAAGCATTCATAACCAGAGGTACCACTGTATACAAAAAGGGGTTAAATGCAGTATTCTCTATAGAACACAATTCGAAACTGCATTCAAAAAAAACATGGTAAAGTCTTGGCTTGTTTATTTGCAGGTGTGGGGTGCGCTACTTCATTTTTTAAAAAAAAATATTTATTGCTTTTATACCTTACAAAAGGAAAAAAGAGAAAAGAAGAAAGAAGAGAAAGAAAAAGAAAAAGAAAAAAAGCAAAAGAGAATACAATACAATACATAAACAATACAGAATGCAATATTATCATTAACACCTTAACAAAACAAAAACAAAAACAATTCAAAAAAAACACACATCGTACCATCTCAGTATCCTCTTTCATTCCCTTGTCTCATCGACCTCCTCTCACCTCCCTTTTTGTATTCCATTTCTATTAATTGTTTCAGCAAATCCTTTCCATCTTTCTCTATTTTCTGTCATGTAATTATCTTAACATATTTTAACCTTATTTTCCATTAATACTATAATACTTATTTATACTTAATTACTTAAGATATTTCTACTAAGTGAGCACTCTCCTGCAACAGCAATGTGGCTTCACTCCGTGAAAAAGGCAGTCGATTCAAAGCACCGCGCCACTCACCCCACCTTGCTCCGGATCCCCGAAACCGGGTTTCCCCACGAGTAGGGGAGGCACAAAAGGTGCCAGCCGAATCCCACGTCCACAAGCCTCTCCCGCCTGTGGTTTTTGATGGGTCTCCGCCTTCGCCTTGGCAGCCAGACCCTAGTTTCACGGAGCAAATTCCTCCCGGTCAGAGGAATTCAGCCATTGCCGGAGGCGCCTCCCTGGAAGTTACTTCACGACTTCCCCTTGCTCTGGCACATGTTCCCCAGACTTATAAGTTGTTTCGATTCTTCTTCACAAGCAGTTGTCTCTAACAATTACACACACACACATTTCTATCTCATCTTGTTACGAGTTGCATGTATTTAAATGCTTTAAATAAAGTTCAAAATACCTTAAAGTGTTCATTTGTTCTATCTCTTTATCCTGTCCCTTTCCGGCTCACAGCTTCAATAATGGCTTTTGTAATTCTACAAATGAAATCGCATACTGTTTAAACTACCATGAAGCTTTCCAAAAGTATAATCATCTATTTCCATTGAATAATTGCACATATAAATCTTTCCAAATTGACAGTGAACTATGCTCTTCGTGGGGAGTTTCCTGCAACCAGGCAAGCTTCTAGACGAAAACAACCATGGGTGGTCTCTTACATTTAAATACTTTACAAGCTAAGGGTGATTAACTCCTCACATTCTAAACATTGATTCTTTACAGAAACGGTGATAGATCAAATTCAGTGTTGAGACCTGTAGGTTCTAAAGTTTTAAACTGAAAAACAAAATGAGTTTCTATCTGCATAAGGCATTTCTAAATGTTCTCTTTCCTGTAAGGATATTCTATAAATTTATGCAACACCTTGAATTTAAAGTCTGGCTTCCCTCGAAGCCAAGATAAAGTTTAGAACTTTCTGACAGTAAGAGCTGTTCAACTGTGGAATGGACTCCCTCAGCAGATGGTGGACTCTTCTTCCTTGGAAGTTTTTTAACAGAGGTTGGATGGCCATCTCTCATGGATGCTTTAGTTGAGATTCCCACATTGCAGGGGGTTGGACTGGATGACACACATGGTCCCAACTCCACAGTTCTATGATTCTATAAGGAGGTGGGGGAGGGGTGGGATCCCAGCCACCTAATGTAAATCAATCAGCCCACACTAAGTCAATCAGAACTATGCATTCTCCCTGTGGGTGTTCATCTTTCATCTTGCTCCTGTTCCTAACCCTCCATTATTTCCCAGATCTTTTCTTCATCTTCAAGGGTGTGTTCTGTCTCAAACCACCATGATCCTGGGTCCATGCTATCTCCATTTGCCTCCTGCCTAGAAGCCTCCTGGGGTAGAGGTCTCCACCACTCCACCTCATCTGGCCAGTCCCTGACAATGCACTTCCTATAGAGCAGGGATGAGAACCTATGGTCCTCCAATTGTTTGACTGTAACTTCCTTCAGCTTCAGGAACAATAGCCAATGATCAGGGAAGAGGGGAATTGGAATCAGTGGAGCACCAGATTTATATAGAGCTTATATCAAAAAATGGTGCTCCCCACCAGATTTTGGTTATTTCCACAATATTACAGTGCTCTTTTTTTATTAAAAAACATCCAGCTTGGCACAGACTTCTAGGATTAACATATAAAAACCTATAAAATAGATTATGTCTTTCCAAAGGTCTCCAATGTGTTCTTTTTCCTTATGGCTCTTTGGCCTGTTTGACTATCACGTCCTCCTACACTTTCATCGCCTACTCCTTTGGTGTGTGCTCTCTTTCAACAGCTGAGGCAGATCTATCCAACTGTTAAAATTTTAAAGATACTGAAGGAGACACTTAGCCCCCCTTCAACTATTGCTGCCTTTCTCTATGGTGATATATAGCTGAAAATGAAAAAGCAGCGTCTGAGCAGAACAACCTTTTCTTAGTTTATACTGCCATCTCATGGATTTTGAGAAAATGTGTATATAATTCCAAAGTACGTAAATTAAATTAAAATGGCAGCAGCTGGCTGCAGCTGCCACTGTGGGCACAACACTTTGCTTCATAGGGCAGATATCAGCGCCCCAATGTCCACTCCTTCTTCCAGATAGGCAGTCAGGTACCTCGACCCTGAAAGGCCAAGATGGGCAGATGAGAGAAAAACAGTACAACCACCCAGCAAAGTTAAAAACAAAGCAAAACCCCAAACCCTTGGGCCAGCAGTACTGCTGCAGAGCAGTGGGGTGAACTGGCATGGGCCCTTCAGAAAGTACCTTGCCTGCCCCTCCTTAACGTAGCAGTGCCTCTGAAGGTAATGAACTTGAAAGAGGTGAAGAACAAGATGAACAACTGTGCAGGAGCAAAGGTAGGGTGTCAGAAGTATAGCAAGTAGGTGGCCTGCAAGGAGGAACGGCAGCCTTTGTGTAAGGCAATTACAGCTGGGTTTCAGAGCTTATATCACTCATGTTGACCATTGCAGAAAGGCAAGTTTCTCCTTCATGTGGATCATATAATATTTGGTCACCATGGAATAACTCATCCTCAGTTGGTCGATTCAGGTGCCCCTGGAACAATCTAATCTATAGCTGGCCTTGTCTAGACTGCAGCTGTCTAAGGTGCTTGAAGATCTTTGTAAGTGTATCTATGGCTGTTCTCAATTCCCCAGGGCTACCAAGAGCCAATTTGCAGGTATTACATGTAAAGTATTGCACTTGGGCAAAAAAACTGAGAGGCACAAATACAAGATGGGCGACACCTGGCTTGAGAGCAGTACATGTGAAAAGGATCTAGGAGTCTTGGTTGACCACAAACTTGACATGAGCCAACAGTGTGACGCGGCAGCTAAAAAGCCAATGCAATTCTGGGCTGCATCAATAGGAGTATAGCATCTAGATCAAGGGAAGTAATAGTGCCACTGTATTCTGCTCTGGTCAGACCTCACCTGGAGTACTGTGTCCAGTTCTGGGCACCACAGTTCAAGAAGGACACTGACAAACTGGAACGTGTCCAGAGGAGGGCAACCAAAATGGTCAAAGGCCTGGAAACGATGCCTTATGAGGAACGGCTAAGGGAGCTGGGCATGTTTAGCCTGGAGAAGAGGAGGTTAAGGGGTGATATGATAGCCATGTTCAAATATATAATAGGATGTCACATAGAGGAGGGAGAAAGGTTGTTTTCTGCTGCTCCAGAGAAGCGGACACGGAGCAATGGATCCAAACTACAAGAAAGAAGATTCCACCTAAACATTAGGAAGAACCTCCTGACAGTAAGAGCTGTTTGACAGTGGAATTTGCTGCCAAGGAGTGTGGTGGAGTCTCCTTCTTTGGAGGTCTTTTAAGCAGAGGCTTGACAACCATATGTCAGGAGTGCTCTGATGGTGTTTCCTGCTTGGCAGGGGGTTGGACTCAATGGCCCTTGTGGTCTCTTCCAACTCTATAATTCTATGATTCTATGATTCTACATGCCCTTTCTCATTTAGCAGAAGTAGTCTGCAGTGGCCAGAATTCAGGATTCCTAGAGGATTAACACTGGCTTCTGTAGCCTTTGCTTTAGAAGCAACAGGACACATTTAGTAAAGATATGTGTAGCCCATCAACACAACCTGTGACACCTGAAGCTCTGACCTGCCAAACTATGCAGTACCTGTTGACCACAGGGACATTTTGCCTTCCCTCCACAAATGTCCACCTTAGAACCTGTTTCAGGAGAGTATTATTTATTATTAATTTTTACCATGGAATTAGATCCCTGATGGCTTACAGAGAGACACCCACTCCTTCTAACACTATCACTGCCAGGCATTCAGTGCTGCACAGTGGAGGCTAGGACAGTTGGGTTCAGCCCAGACTGTTTGGAGCAGGTGCCCAACTTACCCATTCAGGCTAGAACCAGAAGAACATTACCTTCACAAACTTGCAAAGGAGGGAATGACTGGAAACCTGTATTAGGGATTCTAGGAATACTCAGCCTTGCAGCCAGTCACTAAAGGAGGATGTCATGATGATGTATTCTTGGATATGAATGTCTCTGACATTTTATGCTGCCATACCACTGGTTGGCTTCATACAGTGCTGAAAGCACCTCTATATTCTTTCCTCATTAAATATTCTATTATTAATTCTATTATTATTTATATACAGTGGTACTTCGGTTTATGAACTTAATCCGTTCCGGAAGTCTGTTCTTAAACCAAAAGCATTCTTAAACCGAGGCACGCTTTCCCTAAAGAGGCCTCCCGCTGCTGGTGCCCTTCCACCGTTCAGATTCCATTCTTAGACCGAGGTAAAGTTCTCAAACTGGGACACTATTTCCGGTTTTGCGAAGTTTGTAAACTGAATTGTTCTTAAACCGGACTGTTCTTAAACTGAGGTACCACTGTACAACCCTTTATCAAAAGATCTTAGGGAGGTATACAACATTAAAAACATTTTATGGAGCATAATAATAAAAACATAAAACAAAGCAAAGTAATAGACAACAAAATAATAAAAAATAATAACAACAGTCCCCCTACCATTAGCCCAAAATGCTCACCAGTCTCGAGTCCTTTGTGTATAGGTCAATGATTACTAAGCCTGGTTGACAGCCAATATGTATCTGCTTTAGATGCCATCTTTGCATCAAGGATAATCTATGTTATACCATACTAATAAAGTACTCTTAGAGCACCTCTGATTCTGACATTCCAAGATTGAGCATCTATCTCTCAGAGCTTGAGAGAATTATCTACCAGGTCTACCTGTGTTGCTTCTAACTGAACATACAATGAAAACATAAAATAAGCCATGCAGGATTAGACCAAACACTTATCTAGCTTAGCGTCCTATTTTCTATAGTGGCCAACAGTGGGGCTATTGTGTTCATACAACATAACTGGTGTTCAACTTCAGAGGCATATCAGCTCTGATAATGAAAGTACCAGTAATGCTGCTTGTGCCAGTGCAATGGCAACTACCTTAACTAGATCCTAGGATTCAGCAACCTATGAAACACATTCATGAGGATTTTTTATTTAGCTTTTTAAAAACTGTCTCGCTCTCAAGAGTCCTTTACTTCCAGGTACTTTTTTTTTCAGGAACTGCTCTCACTCTAAAGAAAAGGTTCTATGGATTGCAGTGCTATATCACAGAACTGTAGAGCTGGAAGGGACCAGCCTTTCTCAACCTTGGGTCCCCAGATGTTTTTGGCCTACAACTCCCATCATCCCTGACCACTGGTCCTGTGAGCTAGGGATCATGGGAGTTGTAGGCCAAAAACATCTGGGGACTCAAGGCTGAGAAAGCTGACAGTCCAACCCTGACATATGTCCTGTTAGTGCACAATATCACCATTAAAGAATCAGATATAATGAAATGATTAGAATTCTAATTTTGAATGTTTCTTTCAACTTTAAATACCAGCTCATCTTCTGCACCTGAAGAAGAGCTGGCATGTGCACAGAGATTTCAAGTCTGAGGAGAACTTGACACTCATATCGGTTCATGAGGGGATCAAAAAAGCTGTGAAGCATATTGCAATGCATTAACTGCCTTGAATGTCAACAAATCACCAAATATAAGCCCAGTGTGCACATTGACTGTGCTGAACTGGCTGAACAAAGCGATGCTTAAAAATGGTGTCTGGCACCTTCTTTCTTGGAAAACTCTTGAAGACAGCCCAAATTACACAAGGCAATAATTTAAAGTTCAAAAACCACTACTTAAGGGTCGTCATCATATCCGTTTTCAATGAAGCAAAAGAAAGCGCAGCTTTCCAAGTGCCAATGATATGTGAGCAGGTGGAGAGGCTGCAATAGCGCTTTCCTCCTAATAATAGCTCATTCAAAAATAGCTCATTCTACAATTGTGTGTAGTTAATCCGCTCCACTCCTTTTATTTTTAAACAAAGAGGTTTCCCCTAAGTCAGGCATGTCCAGAGTGTTTCAGGGGCCTAATCCGGCCCGCCGGTCAGTTTAATCCGGCCCCTGTGGCAGTTTATTTCCTGAGGTAAAATCCTAAAAAAACCTCAACAACTTTGGTTGGCCCGCCACTTCATCAAATCTGGCCCTCTTTGAAAAAGTTTGGACACCGGCGCCCTCAGGGATTTCAGGTGGGCAGGAGAGGGGGGGTCCCACAGGCGCCAGCGAGCCCAGAGAGGAAGGCCGTTCCAGGCGGCGACACCGGATGCTCTTCCCCCTCCTGCTCCTCCTCCACGTCCTTCCGGCAGTCCACTTCCGGGAACCTCTTCTCGCGATAACAGCGTGAAACCTCGCCCGCTGAGCGCCTCCCAAGGGAGGAATCCCCGCCTGCCGACCTGCTCCTCGTCTCTCCTCCCCGCGCCGCCCAGCTGCCCGCTTCCGCCGCCTCCTCCCGGCCAGCCTGTCCCGCCGTTTCCCGTCCGCATTACTCCTAGCCCACCCGAGTCAAAGGGCGCATGCGCCGCTGGGCTCCGCACAGCGGAGGAATCCCGTTGACCTCCGACGCTGCCGGCGTCATAAAAGAACTCCGTGCGGGTGATGCGGCCGGGGCAGCCGCTTGCCTGAAGGGGCGGGAGTCGGAGCGCGCACGCGCGCGGGGGGCGGGGGAAGGCCGAGGCCGCCGCCGCCGCCTTCGCAGGGGAGCGGGCGAACAGCGCCGCCAGAGGAGCGACGAGGCCGGCAGGGCTGCGAGGAAGGAGGACAGAGCGGCCGGCCTTCCTCGCGCGCCCCCGCCTGGCCCGCTTCCGCCGAACCGCCCTCCGCGCTCCCTCCGCGGCCGGAAAGTAGTCCCCCTCCTTCCTCCCTCCCTCCCTCCCTCCCTCCTCCCTCCTCGCGCGCCGCCCTCAACAGGCTCCGCCGCCGCCGCCGCGATGGCGCTGAAGAGAATCCACAAGGTAAGGCGCCAGCGCGGCCGGGAGGCGGCCCGGAAGACTCCGCTCCTCCCCGGGCCCGGGTTCCCTCCCGCCCGCGGCAGGGTCGGGAGGCCTGGGCGGCCGTGAGGGGCTCGGCTGCCTCCGCTCTGCTGGGCCTGCCCCGGCCGGCCGGCCGGCCTCCCGCGCTCTCGGGGCAGCTTCTCGCCGCGTTCGGGCCGCGGCATCCCGGCCGGCCGGCGGGGGGCGCCTCCGGGGATCGGTGCCTTCGCTCGCCTCTCGAACGAGCCTTTCTTTGTTCGGCGGCGCCCCGATCCTTTTCTCCGCCTTCCTTTCCCCGAGCTTCTGCCGTCCTCGCGGCCTCCCCGGAGGCTTTCCCTGCCTGCCTCATCCCATGCAGTTTTGATGCTACTCTTGCAAAACAAGCACCAGTCTGGTGGCCGTCCCTGGGAGAGGCGCCTCGAAGCAGGATCCTGGCCCCGGCTTGAAGGCCCTTGAGGGGAACAAACGAGCGAACCCCGCTTAGACTAGGATGTGCTAAAATCAGCCGCCGCATGTGGCTACAGGTGTGCGCGCCCCCTCCCAAGTAGCTCCCTGCGCTGCAGGTGCTCCCTTTTCCTCCGTAGAAATCCTGTACCAAAGTAGGCAATGGAGGTGGGGGCCAAAGCCTGATTTCTTTCATTTCAAAATCCGTGGAGTGAGTTACTCCGTTGAGTTTTATGTGGACGGAGAGAAAACGTCTGCCTGCAGTGAGCTGAGCCGGTGGCGGTGTCGCACACTGGCTTTGGCCGTCTTCATTCCCAGGGCCATGCTGCTCACTCCTCCTGCTACAGCTACACCTATATCCTCAGTAACTCCTTCTGGTGCCTATGTCTCAGGTGCTACAGAATTCTTTGCTTCACCTTCAGAAACGTGGCTTAAAGGTTCATTTTGTTTCTGGAAGGAACATTCAAGCTGCAGGTCAGGCTGCATTGAACTGGGTTGGATTTACTGCCAAGTAAACATGAGTAGGACTTATGTTACTTTTTGGACCCTTATTTTTCAACTGGTTAACATTAGCCAGTATTCTATTTGGGAGGAAAACCAGTCAAAGACAAAGGTGAGGAAGTCAATATGAAAATCTCCCTCTTGTGCACATAGCTTTTAAGAAGACCTGAAACCTTTGTGGATAAATTCCTTTTCTCCAGGCCTACTGAAGTCACTAGTCCTAAAAACATGGACATTATGTAAGGGCTCTTGTGTTTCAGTTGTTATTGGGGCTAAGGCATAGTTTTTACATTTCATATTATTTGGTTAGTATCAGGAGATGTGAATAATACGGGAAACTTGATGGTATTGCCTGACAATATTGATCATGAGGTCAAACATTGCTGGCTGGTGGTACCTAATATCACGTGTGTATGCACATGCACATATAAGGGAAGGGTTAGCTTCCAGCTAGTTCCTGCAGCAAGAGTATAGGTGGTGGCTTCATTTGCCTCCACTTAAAATCCTCCCATAGGAGATTCCTGGTGCTTTTTGGTTGCTATGGTTGACAGGTAATAGTCCCAGGTGATTTAGCAGTAGCATAAATTATGCTGTCTTTTATAGTAACATACGGGACTATGGTATAGACTTTGTAACAGTATGCTTTTTGCATCAAACAGTAACTTTAAGATTTATGAAAATGGTATTTGTCTGTTGTGTGTCATCATGTTTTATATACAGTACAGTATATACTCTAAATGTTTTGAGTTCAGTTACAGAATTCAAAAATGTTAGCAGTATATATGAGTATTCAGCTTCTTGTTAAGGTTCCATATGCAGTGTTAGAAACACAAGATCTATAAGCCAGGCGCCAAATGGATCCTTAAATCAAGGTTACAGTCGCCAAAATGGAACTTCTAGTTGCCATTTTGGGGCAAGACTGCTTTAAATGATGCACTGACTGATTGATTCTCAGTTAAAGATCTGGCTAGTTCAGATGACAACCTTGAGGTTTGAGAACTTGAAAGAAGAAAAGTCACTTGATCCAGGGACAGTCCACATATATATTCTCCTGTTCCAACTTCTTTTTCTTAATGGAGAGTGCACCTGCTCAGGCTGCAACAGAAAAAGCATTTGGGTTCCAGAAATTCATTTCGATTGTACAGATAAAATATAACTGATAGAATTCGACAGGATGGGGTATTAGTGTGTGAAAACAGTCCAGCTCCAATGATCCCCAGATGGTGGAGATGTCAGGTGCCATCCTGGCTCCCAGGCATCTTGGTCACAAGTGATCAAATGCCAGGTCCAAAATGCGCCTGGCTAATTTTGAACACTGTACCATGGGTGCCCATGGGAGACGTGTGTGTGGTCGTCCCCCCCCCCAAATCATTCATGATGTCCAGATCCCCAGCTTTCATTTTTTAAAAAGCTTCTAGTATTTGTAGAACCTAAGATGAGACAAAATGTTCAGACATTATTCTTCTCATTTTCTTGTGAGAAACTAGCTTGCAGATTCTGCTTTCAGTGTCTGTCTTTGCCATTGCCTCCCTGAAAAATTCCTGCAGGTGTCTATGCTTCTTTTTCTCTTTTATGAACTTTACTAATTCACTGTATTGGTAGAGGTGAAGAATCTCCTGCATATAAATAGATTACAGTAGACGAACTGCAATATTGGCCCTTTGGAAGTTTGCTGAATTCAGCTGGGATGCAGGACATTATTTTTAATGTGCATTTAGGTTGGGGTTGGGTCATCATCTGGTGAATCAGTCTGACATTGGCTGCTGACTGATTCTTGACTGAGAAATTAAAAATGAGGCTGTAAGGATGTATATTAACTGTATTGTGAAAATTGCATTATCCTTTGGGAGGAAGGGTGGGATCTAAATTTAATAATTAAAATTAATGAAAATTAATATCCTCATGCACCAAAGGCACCTTGCTCACCACCTTTACAGTAACTGTGGACATGCACACTCATTTAGGAATCTGCACCTCTGTTTTGCAACTCTCTTTTGCCATCTCCCATCCCAGTTAAGCCCACATGGTTTGGTTTCTCCTGTTGGCCACGTGCTTCTAACTGCAGTCATCTCTGAACTGGGAGAGAGGTCAGGAGGAGACATGAATCATGCACATAAGTAGTCACAGTAGGGCCATGCCACTTAGTATTTGGCAGCCAACTAAGATTTGCCATTGTGTTTGACATGAAGCAGCAGCCAATAATGACAGAGTGTCTGTTGATACATACATTTCTGAATATGGACAACAACCGTTTTAGGCATGTCCAACTGACACGCAACCGTGCATGTGTGCATTGCACCCACTCCAGAAGTGGCTGGAAAAGGGGGTAGGGTGGAGCAGGCTCACAACCTATTATCATTCAGTTTTAGTCACACATTCAAATTGTGACTGCAAAAAACCCACTAGATAAAGCTCAAAACTGGCAGATACATTTTCAGCATAAGAAAGTACACGAGCTTAACTGCTGACTTTCATTGTGTATGTGTGTGTGTTTTGATGTGCATTGTTTTTAAAAACCTGTTACTAAGGCTAAGAAAAGCCTAGATACCCATGAAGTTAACTGGCTGCAGAGCTGGCCTGTGTTTATGAGGCAGACTGAAGCGGTTGCTTTACACAGCGGAATCCAGGGGGTGCCTCTGCAGGCACTCCCCCCTCTGTCACCACCAGCAGAGAAGCAAAGAGAAGTAGCTGCCGCGGCTTCTGGATTCCAGCAAGATCTCACCAGAACCCTGCAAAATGGCATGCAGGCCTCCAAAGTTCTTAACATGACCTTCCCGAGACTTTGCTTCCCTGCTTTGCTTGCCAGGATCTTGGTATGGTCATGCAAGGCCACTGTGCTATCTCATAGGAACATCACAAGATCTTTCAGGAAACTGCGGCTGTGCAACCCTGGAAGGTGAAGCTTTGATGGGGGCAGCAAGGGGAAGGGCACGTGTGCAGGGTGGCACCTTTCTGTTTTGCCTCAGATGGCAAAACGGGCTGGGTCAGCTCCAAATGGATGTTTTTGGGCCAGTTGTGTGTGCTCAGCCTAACCTAATCTATGTTGCAGGGCTGTTTTGAAAGTAAAATGGCTGGACAGAAAGAACCATGAGTATGTAATGCATCTATTACATATACATGCAATAAAGTAAAAGCCATACATGAAATCCTGAGTTATTCTAGTCTTTCTCTTCACTCATTTTGCAAATCTCTCATATGTTTGCTTTCAAACTCCCTTCAAATATCATGATGGTGCAAAAATGCTGTGCATTCCATCAGATATATACAGGCTCCAGCAAATTCAGTTGCCAAAGCCTCTGAAGACTGGTGGAGCAGCTTTCCTCCCAGGTTTGAAGAACTTTGAAGTGGGTGTAGGCTGTTGCTGAGATTGTTTGGCAGCTGTGTTGACAAAACTTCTGCAGAGCTTTGACCACATGAGGCTACTGGAAACTACCTCCTTTCTCTTTGGATGGTGGAACTGGCAAGTGTTGTCACCATTGCCTGCAACATGGAGTGCCTTTAGACTCTGACACCCAGCAGTACAATCTTCCCAGCAAGAAAAGGGATGGTCACAGCTCTATTGTTTGGCTTTGCCAGCAAGAGCTTCGAAAACTTTGGCTCTTAGAGATGTAGAAAACGAGTCTGAAAGTCACTGTCCCCTTTAAAATACACCCAAGCAGGGCTGCTCCACCCTTTCCCACTCACTGCTTACATGCATTTAAAAGGTTAAATAGGTGATTATACATGCACGTGCCCTATCATCATCATCATTATATTTATTTATACCCTACCTTTTCCTCGGTCCGGACTCAAGGCAGCTTATAGATAAAATCAGGGACCACTAAAAACATAGCAGTTTACAGGCAGCAACCACTTTTCATGCGTCCAGTTAACACGTTGATCACACACATGCTTGTTACCTCTGACCTGGAAGTGGTCCGGAAATGGGATGGGCTTATGCATGTTCCACTGATACACGGGGGGGTCAGGAACAGAACCAAATGGTTGCCGCCTGTATCTGCCACTTGTCAGATTCATAAATATTTTATATCTGTATTGGCAGTCAGATTCAAAGCATTGCCTAAGAAGCAGTTTTCAGACATCACCTTCCATATGAACTTTCAAAGCCTCCATGAACTGGGCCAAATTTCTCCTGCCCATCTTTTCCCATACTGAATACGAAAATATTATGTACAGGCAACCCCGATTTACATGTAAGTCTGATCTTTATGCCCTGCTAAGCCCCCTTTTCTGGCCACTTCTGGGTTGCAGCAATGCATGTGTGCCATGATCGCACGTGCATTGAACTAGCATAAAATGGTTGTTGCCTGTAGTATATTCATAGAATCAAAGAATTGTAGAGTTGAAAGGGACCCTGAGGGTCATCTAGTTCAACCCCCTGCAATGCAGGAATCTCAACTAAAGCATCCATGACTGATGGCCATCCAACCTCTGCTTATAAACCTCCCAGGAAGTAGAGTCCACAACCTCCTAAGGGTCTTACTGTCAGAAAGTTCTTACTGCTCTTACTGTCCGAAAGTTTTCCCTGATGTTTAGTCAGAATCTCATTTCTTGTAACTAGAAGCCATTGATTTGAGTCCTTACCCTTCAAAGCAGAAGAAAACAAGGTTGTTCCCTTTGCCATGTGACAGCCCGTAAGATATTTCAATATGGTTATCGTATCTCCTTTCAATCTTGTGTTTTCCAGGCTAAACATACCCATCTCCTTCAAGTGCTCCTCCAGACCCTTTATCATCTTGATTGCCCTCCTCTGCACACATTCCAGCCTGACAACATCCTTCTTAAATTGTGGTGTCCACAATTGGACACAGACAGAATAGAGGGGTTCTATTACTTCCCTTGATCTGGACACTATACTTCTGTTAATGCAGCCTAGAATAACATTAGCTTTTTTGCGGCTGCATCACACTGTTGACTCATGTTAAGCTTGTGGTCTGCCAAGACCCCAGATCCTTTTCGTATGTACTGCTAGTAAGCCAGGTTTCTGCTATCTTATATTTGTGCATCTGGTTATTCCTGCCTAAGAGCAGAACCTTACATTTGTCCCTGTTGACATTCATTTTGTGAGCTTGGGTCCATTTCTCCAATCTGTTAAGATAATTTTGAATTCTGATTCTGTCTTCTGCAGCATTAGCCATCCCTCCCAGTTTGGTGTCACCTGCAAATTTGATGAGCGTCCTCACAATTGCTTCATCCAAGTCGTTTATGAAGACATTGAATGACAACAGGATCAGGACAGAATCCCACTACAGTGGTACCTCGGGTTAAGTACTTAATTCTTTCCGGAGGTCCGTTCTTAACCTGAAACTGTTCTTAACCTGAAGCACTACTTTAGCTAATGGGGCCTCCAGCTGCCGACACACGATTTCTGTTCTCATCCTGAAGCAAAGTTCTTAACCCAAGGTACTGTTTCTGGGTTAGCGGAGTCTGTAACCTGAAGCGTCTGTAACCCGAGGTACCACTGTATTAGACTAGTGGAGTGTGAAGTTCAGTTGCTGGAGTTGCCGACCAACTTGCCTGCCCAGGAGATAGTTTAAAAAGAAGCTTCAACATAGTTTCTGAATCTTGAAGTTCCCTATGTGTGTTTATGCCTTGCCTTGATAACAAATGGTAAACAACCTTTTTCCTACTGAGATTTGCAAGTGATACCAAATTCAGGCAGGATACTATGGTACAAATCTGGCAAGGAATTTCTTTGCTTTTAGCATACAGGTTCCTTTCTGGAGTGGGAGGACCATATTACCAAAGTGTAATAATTTTTCTTGGCAATTGAAGAGGACATTGATACGAATTCCTGTTGGTTGGCAAAGTTCATCTAAAGCAAGCTTCCTCAACTTGGCCCTCCAGATGTTTTGAGACTACAATTCCCATCATCCCTGACCACTGGTCTGCTAGCTAGGGATAATGGGAGTTGTAGGCCAAAAACATCTGGAGGGCCGAGATTGAGAAAGCCTGATCTAGAGTAGTCATGTACTAACCTTAGCTTTAACAATTAATGCTGCTCTAATTTTTATGTAAAATCTTAACCTAGAGTATATGGTGATACTTCTGTTTGTGCTTTAAATGATACTAGTTTTGTCATTAATTTGCAATAAATGCTTCTCTGAGAGCTAGTGTGGTGTAGTGGTTAAGAGCGGTAGACTCGTAAGTCTCCGCTCCTCCACCTGCAGCTGCTGGGTGACCTTGGGCCAGTCACACTTCTCTGAAGTCTCTCAGCCCCACTCACCTCACAGAGTGTTTGTTGTGGGGCAGGAAGGGAAAGGAGAATGTTAGCCGCTTAGGGTAGTGATAAAGCGGGATATCAAATCCAGACTTCTTCTTCTCAGGAATGAGCAGTACAGAAGATAGTTTGTAAGCTAGCTGTCCCTCTGAATTATTTCCTTGTCATTACTGCTAATTGACAAGACAAGCCTTGGAAAAAGTTGTCTCAAACTGTAAGAGAGAAAAGTTTAAATAACAAGGAATGCTTCTCATAAGAGACCACCAAATGATGCTCAGCCTGTTTGCATAAGTGTAGGTGTCAGAAATCCATTGCCTAAGGCAGTGCCTGTGCCTTCCCACTGCTGAAAAGGACACCCAGCAGCATGCTCCGTATTCAGATTTTCTCATTAGAACCTAGTGGATCAGCTGGTAAAGTAACCAGTGGCAAAGACCACAGACTCAAGCTTTAACTGAAATTAATCAATTGGTTTATTGTTAGTCAAAATTGCATTTAAAGAAAAATACTTCACCTATAAAAGAATATTGGAAAAATGCATTGCAGTGTTGATGAAAGCAACTTAACTTGTCCTCCTCCTCCTTTGTTTCCCTGCACCCCTACTCAGGTTTGGGAGGAGGAGGAGAGAAAGAAAATTATGTTGCTCTTGAGGAAGTTGTTCTGCATGCACAGTTGGCTAAAACTCTTAGCTACAAAGACAATTGTATTAGTTAACAGGCTTTTTGCTCCCTGTGAGAGTAATACAAAAGGTTTGCTCATTCAGTGCAATTGTGTATTTAATGGGCTTCTGTCTTGAGGATTGTCCATTCAGAGTCCTAGTGTGAGTACTTGTACAGCTCTGTGGGTTGATAAAGACTGATCAGATATTGTGCTAATCCATAATCTGGGCTATACAAATGAGTTTAGAGGATGCTCCCTGATCCTCCATTACAACTCCATTGTTGTTTTATTGGTTAGTTTACATGGTTTTATTATTTTACTGGTTTGTTTATTGATAATTTATTTATTGTTCATTGTGATTGGTGTAAAATTAAACTACTGTACTTTGCAGCCTCCATTGCATCCTTACTATGCCGTCCGGCAGAGCTTTTCCGGGTAGTGTGGAGCCTTGCAGAACCAACGGTAGCTCGCTGTGACTTTTTTGCTAAGCATTTTGAGGATAAAATCACTTGTATCCATCGGGACCTTGACTCTACTGTTATAGCGGTTAAACATTGAGAGATGTCCAGAGCACTGTCTAATCCTGTTTTGTTAAATGAATTTCAGATGTTTCGGCTTGAGGATTTTGACAAGGTGCATGGATCGGTGTGAGTGACTACCTGCCCTCTGGACCCTTGCCCCTCTTGGCTGATAAAATCCAGCAGGGAGGAGACAACTGCATGGGCTAGAGAGGTGGTCAGTGCCTCTTTACGAGAGGGGGTGGTTCCTGCTTGATTGAAGGATGCGGTGATAAGACTGCTTCATAAGAAGCCATCAGTAATTACCAGCCATTTGCCAACCTTTCCTTTCTTGGGCTAGGTACTTGAGCAGGTGGTCACTGACCAGATCCAGATGCTCTTGGAGAGTCTGATTTTCTAGATTCATTTCAGTTGTGGTTTCAGCCTGGCCTTGGCACAGAAACTACCTTGGTTCCCTTATATGATAATCTGTGTTTTGATACCACTGACCACTGTATCCTCCTGGAGGCTATCTAAGTTGAGGGTGGGTGGCACTCTCTGCAGTGGTTCCTGTCTTACTTGGATGGTCCTTTTCAGTTGTTGATGCTTGGGGACTGTTTTTCAGCATCATGAAGCCTTCAATATGGTGTCCCTCAGGGCTCAATTATATACCCCATGTTGTTTAATATCTATATGAAGCCTCTGAGTGGACCCATCCAGAATTTTGGCATGCATTGGCAGCGGTACAGTGGTACCTCTGGTTAAGAACTTAATTCGTTCCGGAGGTCTGTTCTTAACCTGAAACTGTTCTTAACCTGAGGTACCACTTTAGCTAATGGGGCCTCCTGCCGCCGCCACACCACCGCCGTGCAATTTCTGTTCTCATCCTGAAGCAAAGTTATTAACCCGAGGTACTACTTCTGGGTTAGTGGAATCTGTAAGTTGAAGCATTTGTAACCTGAAGCATTTTTAACCTGAGGTACCACTGTATGCTGAAGACACAAAGCTCTGTTTTCACCTTTACATCTGCAGGTGTGGCAGTGGATGTGCTGGACCAGTGTCTTGGCTTGGTAATGAGCTGGATGAGAGCCAATAAACTGAAGCTCAGTCAGTATAAGACAGAGACAATGATAGTGAGTGGTTCCCTGGATCAGTATTTCCCAACCGGGGGTCATATTCCCACCCCCTCGGATATTCCAAGAGGACCACAGGTGAAAAATGTGTAAATGGGCCACAGCACAAGGCTAGGGGGCCACAGAGGAAGTAAGAAGTGAAGAGAAGAGATAATTTTTAAAAATTTAAAAAATCCTGATTGGCTGGCTAACTGCTTGGCCAATCACAAGTGGGTAAGGGGGTGCTCCTTTTTCCCATGTGTGTTTCCTTGGAGTGTTTCCTTGTTTCTGGCAGGAGAGGGTGATTGCTGAGGCTCCCATTTTGTCCAGTAGAGCCCGCGATCCAAACCCCCAGGTCAGGTAAGTGCGGTGGTGGGGTAGCAGTGGGTAGGGCTGCTGGGCAAGGCACAAGATGCAATCCACCCCAGCACCTAGCAGATCAGGCCCTTTGGATGTTGCTGAGGGGTCGTCTGGTGTTGCTGACTTGCATCTAGTAAATAACTCAGAAGAAAGCTGCACTAGCTTCAGTGGGCCTTACTCCCAGGTATGCATGGCTATAGTGCTTTGTAGACAGGGCTCCTCCCGATAACAAAATCTTTTTGTACCAGGTCAATGAGGACCACTTGCTTTTTAAAATTCTCCCATATATACAGAACCCTCTGTGCGCCTTTTGGACTGTATCTGTAGGTTTCCCTCTCTGTGTCAATTAACTTGGGTCAAATAAGTGCTGTTTACTTTCTGTAACACATGGGAGGTGGATCTCCCTCGGGAGGTTCTGGACTCTCCTTTCTTGGAGGTTTCTAAGCAAAGGTGGGATGGCCATCTGTCATGGATGCTTTAGCGGAGTTTCATTGCAGGGGGTTGCACTAGAAAGAACCCTTGGGGTCTCTTCCAGCTCCACGATTTCATGTTTTTTCTGCTTCAACAATATTTCATTATGTTCCTATCATTTTATGTAATTATATATTGTATAAATTATAAAAATTATAAAGAAGCATGTTCTATATACAAATAAAACATTTAAATAGCTACCGTTCTACCAGTAGGATGGGGGGTATGGGTGTAGCCAGGACTTTTGTTAGGGGGGCAGGCTTTTGTTAGGAGGGGGGCAGAACCTCAGGTTTGTATTGATTATTACCGTATTTTTCTGTGTATAAGACAAACTTTTTTGACCCAAAAATGAGGTTCAAAATTGAGGCTTGTCTTATACACGGGTAGTGCTATTGGGGGCTGTGCGGCCACGCGCTCTGCCCCAACGGGCTGCTGCAGGTAGCCGCTTCCCTGGAGATGGCACAACTGCTGGAGACCTGCAGCAGCCCGTCGGGGCAGAGCGCGTGGCCGCTCTAGCTGGAGCATAGCCGCAGAGGGGCTGCACCGGCTTCCCACAGCCGGCCCGGAGAGAGAGCGCAAAGCAGCCAGCCACCGCCTTCCCAGGCACTCTCCTCCTTAAAGGGACAGTGCCCCGCCTGTCCTGGGCAGGGCAAAGGAGCCTGCTTACAGCCGCTGTACCGTTCAGGCTTGTGCCTTCCTTCCAAACTTTTGCCTCTGCAGGGAGCACTTGCAAATCGCCGAGGGTCTCTGTCAGTGGACGCAGAGAACCAGTCAATGAATCTCTCCCCAACACAACCTTTTGGTTCCCCATGTCGTAGAAACCACCTATCATATCCCCGCCCGATCTCCGCCAGCGTGATTCATGGCGGCGATCAGGCAGCTGCAGCGCGAGCGGATGTGTGATATGTTCTGTCGGGTGAGTGATTTTCAGGATTGCCCCCCACCCCCCAAAAAAATTGATCGGCCAATGCCAAAAATCGCTTACCCGCCAGAATGAAGCGCGGGCCTGAGTTTTTAAGTGGCAAATGGCCGCTTGATGGGGGGGAGGGAATGCCGAAAATTGCTCACTTGAGCCCAAGATTGTCAGGGGCGGGAGCGGTTGTGTGCTGCGTTCTGGTGGGTGAGTGATTTTCGGCATTCCCCTCCCCCAATAATCCTCCCCAAAAGCTTAATCCCCCTATTTTCTAAATTTTGAGGCCTCCAAAATAGTCTTATGGAAAAATACTGCACTTATTGGTGGCATCTGTCCCCCGCCCCCCTTGGCTACATCCATGGGAGACTACAGGAAGGAAAGAAGGTTGGGAGCTCCTAGAGAGCGTTCTCTGACACCACTGGACTCTTCAGAACCCGAATCTTTTTAAATCTCAAAAAATAAAAGTAAAATCTTTGAGAGAAGAATCCAGGTGGATACTTCCGTTGTTTTCTTTGGCCTTCCTATTTAGACTCTTGAGGTAGGAACACTTCTTTGTGAGATTGTTTGCCTTTCTAATTAAAAGCTAAAGGTCGCATTTAAACTGCCAGAGAAAGAACCGTTAAACAAATGCTCAGTGTGCTTTACAAGTTGAATCTTTACAGGTTTACTCAGAAGTACCGTTGAATGCTTGGCTGCTTGCTTCCAGTTAAGTATGCGTAGGAATCGGTATGTGATGGGGCAGTTGATATGGCAGTGTTTCATAATTAGAATACAAAAGAACTCTTCTATCCATCTGCCTTTTACCCTCTAACTTATTGTTGAAATAACTTGTTATAGTATTATTAGGTTGAATTTACATGCATTGTTCGTTTGTTAAGTGCTAAATCTTCTCAGGTTTTGGATTTTCTCTCTAGGTGACATTTCCTTAGTGGCATATGATTGTGATTGGCTCAGATCATTTGTTATGGAAATGGTTAAGCAATCCATAATTGTGAGGGTCTTAAATGAAGGAGCTTAATGCCTAAAATCTGGTTTTCATTATCTCTTCTGTGTTCTCGTAATAAAATTTATTGGAAGAATAAAATTGAAGAATTAAACAAACGTACATAAAACCCAAATTCAGCATCAGTGTTGATGAATTCGTATGGTATTGTTGTGGAACTAGACTTCATAGCGGCTTACTAGAAGCTTCTGCTTAGTTACCAGGCCCAGCCATAATTTGTAGACCCTTGACATATAGGGTGTAGATCTAGGTTCAATGTAGCTTTTATAATCAGACTGCAAATCTACTACTTCCTTAAATTTTAAATATGCCCACAAAACTCCATAGAAGAGCAATATATTCCCCAGAAATCTTTAATGGTTTAGTTGAAGCAGAGGCGCTGATTTCCGCACAGCATTGGGGTGGCTCATCACATGTGCATGACATCACACATGCAACACGCTTGTTGGGAGGAGGTTGCGAGGCCCAGGGAAGGCTTCTGCCACCATGGGTAAACCCAATGTGGCCCTCCACTGCCATGGGGAGACGAAAGGGGGCCCTCTGCAGCCACAGGGAAGGATGCCCTCAGACATTATGACATATTGAAATATCATTATGTTGGTGGTGGTGATATATTGCAAACCAGATATCACCCAGCCCTACGTACATGTATAAATGCATCTTCCTGGAGTAAAATATAACAGAATAAACAAGACTTCAAATCAAGTGGTTTCAGCTTGTCTGAACCAGCATTGACTGGCTTTGCTTTGTATGGACAAGCTGTGGCTTGTTGTACAGGGTTCAGTGGTGAGTTGAGACTCAGCCTTACCTCAGCTCTTGTGTTGATCAGTTTGTATTGTTGTGCTCCAGTTTAGTGTTAGAAACTGAGATATGAAGGTTGGGAGCTAGATGGCACCTTAAACCTAGGTTATGGGTGCAACAACGGAATGTCTAGGCATGCTTTTTTAATAACAAGAATACAAAGCTGAAAATGAATGAACCGCAGCTAAAATATTACATTCAATTTTCACATGGTCTAGTCCTTCCCCTGCCCACCCCTCTAATATTCTTAAAAGGGTCTCTTCTCCAGTCTTCAGAAAGTAGCTGGAAGTGGGGAGGCAGAAAAAGGTCCTTCTTTCCTTCCACTCTGCAATTTTAATCTGAAATCTTAGGCGCTCAGAAACTGCTTGTGCTGATGAAATTCCCTGTTGCAAAATGAGCCTAGAATAATGGGAGTTTCGAACACTTCTCCAGTTATTTTATTGTCATATTGATGAGAATACACAAGTTAACTATTTTACTAACTTTTTGGTGAATCTGACATGTACAAATATATTTCCACTTACGACTGAAAAGGGAAAAAGGGGCATGTAAAATGTGATATATTGCTGTAATCTTTTTAGTAAAATTGGTCACTAGCATCATCATTTCTTGACCCATCTAGTTGGGATACACTTAAGGTAGGGTGAGCACTAGTTCTAACAAGGACTGAACCAAGGCCTGCAACTGGCCAAACTTGCATATCGGCAAATATTATATTTTTAGGGCGGTTCACAAAAATGAAACGTCATGTGCAACAGTGTTTTCAGGCTTGTTTAATGTGTAAGTTTATTTTTTTCAGAATTTTGTTTGATACAGATTTTGTTGTAATAATCATGAAATGAAGTACTAACAAGAATTCTTTCAAAGCATTAATTCTATCTTGCAACAGCAAGTTACCACTCTGCTTTGGAACACTTATTAAAAAGAAAGCCTGACTAGCTTTTCAGATACTGTTTAATTGAATAACTTTTTGAAGAAATGCCTGAAAGTAACTGATATTATTCTTTGAAGTCTTGTTTATTCTGTTATACTTTACTCCAAGAAGACTCATTTATCCTAAATAGAACCCAATAAGCCCAACATGTATGCACAAAATATGTTTTTTAATGTGATCCCATTGAGATACTAGGATGAAATTTTGCTGGAAGCTCTTAGAAATATGAAATAATTACTACAATTTGGGGTGAATTTTTAAATCATTTTTTAATTGCTTAAAAAAATAAATTATGTAACTTAACTTTCAAATTTAAAATAAGTACATCATGTATCATATCATATTAAAGCCCATGAAGTTCTGAAGAGATTGTTGTTGTTGTTGTTGTTGTTGTTGTTTAGTTTTGAAATATCTCGATTCTGGGCTGAGGTTTTAAGGTTGTCAATTTTTTGAAATTTCAAACCCTCATAACTCAGAAACAGGATGAGATAAGAATATTTTTTTTAGATTTAAGCTTAGTTCTGATCATTCCACAAGTGTACAAAATTTTAAGAAAATTGGACATGAGGTAAAAGATTCATTAAAAATTGGACCAATTTATATGGAATGACCCAAAGGTTTTCCACAATGTATGTTACGAGTATTGATAATATCAGAGTAAATTAAATATATTTTTCATTATCACAAATGTAAATGATATTTGGAAATGTATTTGGAAGGAAAATCACATGAATTATGTGTGTGACTCTTAATAATCTAAAGAAAAGTAAGTGAAATAGCCATCCGTTATGTTGGAAGTATACATTGCACATTGGTACACTTAACTTCCTTTATGATGCAGTTAGCAAATGAGTCTTGAAGAAAATATGGGATAGGGAATCCAACTAATATTCTTCTATTTTTCTTGCCTGAAGCTAGAATTCAGCCTAAGGTGTTAATTCCATACAGTGGCCATCCAGTGGCCGTGGCACCATGGGGTGCCTTGAATGATGGTCAGGGGTGCCATGAGCAGCACTGGCCTCTGTCCCTCTTTCCTCCCCCCTTCCTCTGATGTCCTCTCGCATTTCTGCTGGCTCTGCAGGCAAGGGGTGACCTAACGGGGCCCTGAGCCCCCCAGGGGTGCCGCAGAAAGAATGTAGTTGGTCAAGGGAGCCGTGGACCCAAAAATGTTGAAAACCTCTGCCATACATGATTGTGTGAAACATATATTTAATGCTGGAAACAAAATAAAACTAAATTAGAAGCAAATGGTCTAGCAAGTTATAGAACTATGCCTCCTTAATGTTAACAATGCTCATTTGAATCACTGAAAGAAAGTTGCTGTGCTTCACCAAAATCAGGTTGCTTCATATATTAGCATTTTGTTTTATAACAGAACTTAAATATAGGTATTAATGTTGATATTTTCTCAGTTTTTCTGTACGTTTTTAATTAGCATTTAATAATAATAAAAAAGCTATAGTAGAGTGCTGTTTGCTACGACTGTTGTGTGGAAATAAAATTACTGTATTTTGAGTCAGTTGTGTGTTTGTTTTTAGGAATTGAATGATCTGGCACGTGATCCTCCAGCACAGTGTTCAGCAGGGCCTGTTGGAGATGATAGTAAGTACCTATAATTGAGAAAAAAAGCCTTCAAAAGAGCACTTCCTCAGGCAGAGAGGAAAACTGACCTGCACATATACAATTGAGGTTATGTTTTTAAAATCTTTAAACAGGCATAGGCAATTTAGAATGAGAATTACATAATCTTAATCTTCTTTTAGGATATACAATTAAACAGTGACTAAATTGGTTAAACAAATTTCACACTGGAGACTACCTGCCCAAACTTCTCCAAAGGCAACATGCCCTTTATTTCAACTTAAAATAAATTGGTGATGGTCTCACTCTTTTTAAAAGTAGCTTTTGTTTACTTGACCATATGATAGAATCTTTAATTTTTTTCTTGAACAAATTTTTGTTGTTAATTTCTTTATAACTTTTTGTTGAATTATTTATGCATTCAGTAAACTAAGCTTTTAAATTTACTTGTAAGGCTGTCTCTCCAGTAAATTACTTAATGGAAAATAAATGTGTGTTAAATGAAGCATTTAGTGACTAATTTGAACAAACTTTGATACGTCTATTACAAGAAGTAAGTTGTGTGTTGTGGTAAAGAGGCACCTCTTGCACCTTTCTAAGTAGTTATCTGTATTAAAATACTTAATACGGAAAATGCCTTTCTTCCAAATAGATTGGTGTGACACATGAAGGGGTGAATAGAACACACATCTACTTCCACTGAACAATTAACTTCATTTGAGGCCTTGACTGTTGTTGGAGGAGTCATTCTGTACATGGCATGTTTTGTTGGGTTTCCTGCATGTTGCCCATGCCCTGATTATGTCACGACATTTGACGAAGTTGAGCGTGTAAGCCAGACAGTAAGCTTGAAATACTGACTCCCTAGTTGAGCTAAGAGTGAAATATTGGTGACAGGGATCTACTTTTGCTGCACCATATTCAAGGCATTCTATTTGCACTGATCGCTGCAAGTAAGTCATATCTCGTTTTCCTTCCTCTTCCAGTGTTCCATTGGCAAGCGACAATAATGGGACCAGTAAGTATCTTTCAAACCTGAAATAGCATTTATAAACTTAACTTTAAACTTTCTTCTAATAGTTTTTCTTTTCTTTTCAGAATGACAGTCCTTATCAGGGTGGGGTGTTCTTCTTGACGATTCACTTCCCAACAGATTATCCCTTCAAACCACCTAAGGTGGGTTTCTTGTTTACATCCTAACAGTGCTGGTGTAGTATCTGTTTTTGTAAATAAAAGCTATATGAAAGAATGTCCTTATCTTACAGGTTGCATTTACAACAAGAATTTACCATCCAAATATCAACAGTAATGGCAGTATTTGTCTTGATATTCTACGGTCACAGTGGTCTCCCGCATTAACTATTTCAAAAGGTAAGCATCGTGGCTCTGAGCCTAAATGAATGGTAAGTGATTTCTAATGTTAATGTAAAAGGTATTGCATATTTCCCAAGGTGATGCATCTCTTTAAATGGCACACACCCTTACTGCCCAGTTTCTTGATTATACCTAATTAAGTATTTAAGGCTATGTATGGTGCATTTTACAAAAGCTTCCTCCTCTGCCCAGCTAGGTTACTTAATTTGAGCTGGCTAGTCTGCCAATATTTAACAGTTAGGAGGACCCTTTTTCAAGCATGTACTATGGTTGAGAGGGCGAAGTAGCATCTTGACATGTGTGCAACATTTGCCAGAAGATGCCTGTATCACAGATGAAGGAGATACTTGCTGCTTTCTAAGCATAACAAAGGTCAGTGTGGAGTACTGAAGGGATACATAAAATAAGGGACAAAACAGTGTCTGCAAACTAGCAGTCAAGCAAAAGATATGACAACCAGAGGTGACGGTTTCTGGAAAATTTTGAATCTGAAAATTTTCTGATGCCCCAGGTAGATTGGGATCTGATTCGGCTTGTTTGATTTGTATTTAGTAAGCACAACACACACACACGTGTGTGAAAATAGGTATTGTGTGGTGGTCATTAGCCTAAATGGTTCTAAAAGAGGTTATTATGTGAATCCATAGTGTAGCTTCCTTACTAGCTAGTTACCAAAACTTATCTCCATTTTGGTTTGTGTGTGTGTGTGTGTGTGTGTGTGTGTGTTTGTTTGTTTGTAATTAAGTGGTATATAAATTGTTGAAATGAAATAAATAAACAATCATCTATAAGCAGCATACAGAAACTCAATACGGTTTTTGTGGTTTAGCACTGTTGCACATAAGCTGAGGTAGAACAGATAATTGTTATGTGAGCCTCCTTGGGAGAGTATTCTACAACTTGAGGGCTATTATTGAAAACATGAAACTAGCTGCATAGTCAGAATATGCTTTTAGGTACATTGAGTAATGCATTGAGTAATGAGAGGGACATTGAGCATGCCCAGGCAGCTTTCCCCTTTTACCATGGCTGCTACATGCATCTGATACCTGGAGCCTATGCCCCCCCACCCCTTTTGCTTGATGAGCCTGTGCACAAAAACTCCCAATTATCTTGCGGATACACCGCTGCCGTAAATAGCCCACCAAATTGCCGCAGCCAGTCGTCAGCAGGCCTTGCCGCAGCAACCAATCACACGCCCAATCACCACTGCCAATCTCCTGCTGCCTGGGCTTACCATATATTCCACTGAGTGTGTTTGCAGCCTTTGTAGGCATGTGCTAGGCTTGGAGCACTTCAGCTGAGTGGTGAGATACAAGTATGTCTTTAAATCTGCCATTGAAATCATTTTAAATTAGATGGAGTTAAATTTGAAATTCAATTCAGATTTCATCCAAACTAATTTTCCCCCTCCCCAAAGGCTATCTGCTCTGCTAGCCTCCCCTTAGAGCATGGTGCTGATAACACCAAGGTTGTAGGGTCGATCCCCAGAAGGGACAGCTGCATATTCCTGCATTGCAGGAGATTGGACTAGACCAGGCTTCCTCCACCTCAGCCCTCCAGTTGTTTTGAGATTACAATTCCCAGCATCCCTGACCACTGGTGCTGCTAGCTAGGGATCATGGGAGTTGTAGGCCAAAAACATCTGGAGGGACAAGGTTGAGGAAGCCTGGACTAGATGATCCTATAAAGTAAAGGTAAAGGTACCCCTGCCCGTACGGGCCAGTCGTGACCGACTCTGGGGTTGCGCGCCCATCTCGCTTAAGAGGCCGGGGGCCAGCGCTGTCCCGAGACACTTCCGGGTCACGTGGCCAGCGTGACAAAGCTGCTCTGGCGAGCCTGCACCAGCGCAGTACACGGAAACGCCGTTTACCTTCCCGCTATAAAGCGGTACCTATTTATCTACTTGCACTTAAGGGTGCTTTCGAACTGCTAGGTGGGCAGGAGCTGGGACCAAACGACGGGAGCTCACCCCGCCGCGGGGATTCGAACCGCCGACCATGCGATCGGCAAGTCCTAGGCACTGAGGTTTTACCCACAGCGCCACCCACGTCACATTGCAGATGATCCTATGGGTCCCTCCTAATTCTGATCTATGATTCTGTTTGATAATCTGGTTCCCACTTCATGTAAGCAGCCCCTGACCTCATTTTGACCCAGTTTTGTCAGTCTCATTTTACATGTAAACTAATTGAATAAGTGACACATGATGTGTTCTGTTCAGCGCCTAACACTTGGTGTTAAGTATCTAGATCTTTGCAAGATGCTAGTTAAAAAGTATTTGGAAGGGGGTGAGGCAACAGCAGGTATGTTGCATAGTGGTGGCAAGGAAGATAGCCCTGTCAGTCAGAATTTTAAGTCCCTTTGTGATTAATTATTTCATTTTAACTAGTGGTACATGTGTGCTGTCACTCCATCCCCAGTAACTGTTCTGTACAGGCAGAGTGTTGTTTTAAGAGGGATCTGCCAAACCACACACACTGGCCACACACAGAGTTTAAAAGGTCAAAGATTGTTTAATTAGCTAAAGGCTTGGAAGAAGAAGAATGTTTTTGCTTGGGACCTAAAGATACGCAGTGTGGGTGTCTAGGGAGAGTGTTCCCCAAATGGGGAGCCTCTGCAGAAAAGGCCTGTTCTTGTGTTGCCATCTTCTAGACCTCCTGTGGAGGAGACACATGAAGAAGGGCCTCAGAGGATGATCACAGGCTATGGGTTGGTTCGTATGGGGAGAGGTGCTGTCCTGAGCTGTTTATGGCTTTATAGGTCAAAGCCAGCACTTTGAATTGGGCCAGGAAACTAATTGTCAGCCCGTGTGGTCAAGCCAGGATCGGTGTAATATGTTCAAAGCATCTTGCCCCGGTGCGCAGCCTGGCTGCTGAATTCCTGCACAAGCTGAAGTTTCCAAACTGTCTTCAGAGGCAGCCCCACAGTGCAGTAATCTAACCTAGAGGTTGCTGAAGCATAGATGACAGAAGCGTGGCTTTCCCTGTCGAGATAGCTGGGCCACCAGCCACAGCTGATGGAAAGCACAAAGCACCTCCGAGGCCGCCTGAGTCTGAAGCGGCAGCCAAGGATCTAAAAGCTCCCCCAAGCTGTGTACCTGCTCCTTCAGATGGCATGTAGCCCCATCAAGAGCAGGCAACCTCCCATCCATCTGGTCTACAGAACCCCAACCACTAAGAGTGTCTCATTCTGCATTCCACTTCTTGAGGAGTGATTTTTCCACTGCCTCTTTCAAGCAGGCAGGGAGCACCCTGATCTTGCAGGGAGGCATTAATCACACCCCTGGTCCAGCCAGCCAGCCTTCCTCTCCCTGCTGGTTTTTATCAGCTAAGAGGGGCAAGGGTCCAAACTGTGAGCAGTCACCCTGATTGATCCAAGCACTTTTTCCACATTCTTGAGCTGAAACTTGCCAAGCTAGTGATGTGAGATGGGGAAACTATCCATAGAAGAAGCTTTCCACTTCCCAAAAAATATTGTTCCATTAAAAAAAAAAAAAGAACCAACACCAACCCAACTGAGCAAAGCTGTTTTTTAACCCCCCTCCCCTTGCCCCTTGTTTTTTTTTTAAACAAACGCTCTGTTCAAATCAAATATTTCTGATTGCTGGGGGACGGACGGACTTCAAATTATGATCAGTTCAGGGCCGCCTTCTCTACCTGGTAGTTTTGAACTGTGCCCCAGGCAGCAAAGCTAGAGCTGATGGGAACAGCTGGAAATGCTTGTGGCAGTTAATACAGTTATCCAATATTACAGCAAATTGTTGTGTTTGAAGCCTTTTTGGTTTCGTTGCCACATAAGATGTTGAGTGTTATTCCTTGGCTATAGTTTTTCCCATTGCAGTAAGTAGCTTTCAGTGTATATGAATTCTGTACAAGTGAGTGCTGTTCCATGATGGACCTTGTTTTATCAGCCATAAATAGTACCAGAAGTGTCAAGTAAGTGTCAACCTCGTAGAGGAAGTATCAATGTATTTGAAAGAAAATCCCAGGAAATCTGGGATTTTTAGCTTTATACACAAACTATGAAACATCTAAACGAGCAGGGACCATCATGTTTCTAGTTTTTGTTATTCTTTATGTATTTTTAGTATAGAGAAGTCTTTGTTTTCCTTAAAAATAAAAAAGTCCTTTAGGATTGCAGGTGAGGTAGGAAGGAACATACATCCCCAGTGCCTTAAATTGGACTCTTGTGCCAATTCTGTTCTCATGCTTCCCAAGCTCCAGTATTTAAATTCCAACTGGCGATGTGGCTGCTGTTTCCCTACATTAGTCAGGAAAGGCATAGTTTCTAATTCTGCAACCAGCCCCAATGTGTAGAGTAGGGAAGATGTGTCAGATGGGAAGGTGCTTGAACCCGTGTTTTTAAGCCATGTGGAAGGAGAGCAGTTTCAACCTCAGTGCTAGATTATAAAATTACAGAAAGAGGGATGGAGGCTAAATGAAGAATAGAATGAACTTGCTTCTTATCTGTATTCAGCTGTACTGAAAAATTCTAATGTAGTGTGTTCTTCCCTCCAGTACTTTTGTCCATCTGTTCTCTGTTGTGTGATCCCAATCCAGATGATCCCTTAGTGCCTGAGATTGCACGGATCTACAAAACAGATAGAGAAAAGTGAGTATGGAAGGTTTTTTTAAAGCTGAAAACCTGAGAATGGACAAACAGTTTGAAGACTTTGTTAACTAACTCTTTGACTAACTCTGTGCCATTGGCACTATTCTTTCTTTTTACAGGGTGTCATCTGCTTCTGTCAGCTGCCTTGTATTTTTATTTCCAGCTTTAAAGTATTTGATCTCAGTCAGTAATTAGGGTTATTTTTTCAGTTGGGCTGGTTAATCCAATAAAATTTCAGTTAGCGTCCTCTGCACCTTTATACTTGACTGTTTTGCAGTTGCCTCTCTTCGTCCTTACAGTTTCGGCTTTTAGGCTACAGAGGGAGAAACAACTTAAACTTCTGCCACAAGACAACCTGATTCTGGTGGTGGTAGGTGAAAAAGAAAGACATGAGTGGCTTCATGAGTAGCTGCAGGGATAATAATGGACAGATATTGCTAATTGTAGTGAAAAATTCTTGAGGTTCAATTGATTCGTTTTCATTATATATTTTTCCAGTCAATTACTACTATGAATAGTTCAGCTTGAGGCAATTCTATTACAACATTGAACTAAAACTTCCTTTAACAGTGTAAAAAGCATTTAGTGAAGCTTGAGCACAATGAAAGTGCACACTCTGAAATGCAGCATCTTTCAACACCCGACATCAAGATAATTGTAAAAGTGACAAGTCAGGACTAAAAACAAGAACCTGGAATTGGTTCTTAACATTTGAGCATCTAAAAGTGCAAACTTGAATAACAGGTGATTGCTGCGTAAAATGTTTCTTAAATTCTTCCAGTTATAGTTGCTGATATTAAACTGAAAATCTACTGATTTGTTCAGATGGCAAGAGCAAGTGGAAACAAACATTCAAAATTTAGAAGATATTACAAGACTGTTGCCCATGTTGTTGTTTTAATGGTTTTCAGGCACCATCAATGGACTGCAAGGCTTTCTGAAGTTTTTCTTGAATATTTTGTACCGCTTAAGAACTCAAACATTTCAAATGCCTTTTAAACTCTGTGTGGTATGTGCATGTGGTTACTGTTTTTGTTTGTTACTATGTATGGTATGTCTTTTTACATTGTAAACTATCCTTTGATCCTCAGGTAAAGGGCAGTATAGAATTATTATTATTATTATTATTGCTATTAGTATTATTATTACCATTATTAGTATTTTTATCATTATTATTATTAACTGCATTCTGATTGCAATGTTATGGAGACTTTTTAAAGTTACTTTGCCTAGTGCTTTAGCTTGATTGGGTGCTAGAAATAACTTGTGGTTCATACGGTCTTAGCAAAGGGCGTCTACTGCTTGGTGCAGTTTGCACTTCAGTAACCACCCTCTTTTTATACACACAGGTACAACAGAATAGCTCGAGAATGGACTCAGAAGTATGCGATGTAATTAAAGAAATTATTGGATAACCTCTACAAATAAAGATAGGGGAACTCTGAAAGAGAAAGTCCTTTTGATTTCCATTTGACTGCTTTCTATGAGCCCACGCCTCATCTTCCCCTGTGCACATGTTTACCTGATACAGCAGTGCTGCGTGTTGTACATACTTGGAACAATGAAATACTGTATTCCATACCAACATTGACTCCTAGCAAAGAAATGTGTGTGAAAAGCCAGTTCTTCAAAGTCTAGTTGTGAGCATAAAAGCATTCCTAAAATATTTAAATTGGGCATAAACCAAAGGGAGGGGGAGGGGGCAGAGAGTAAAAGGCTTTCAGTGATTGAAAAGGAGAATTTTGTTTAAGTGGAATCCTTTTAAACTCATAACAGTTATGAAAAACGTATGTGAAGAACTTGAAGCTGTTTCTGTATTTTTATTCTGAAGGATCTACTTAGGTAAATGTATGACCAACAAGATCAAACTGTACCCACATCCTGTGTTTAAAGGTCTAAGTTTAACTGGTCAGCATTTAAATGCATTGGAGCTATTAGTGCATCAAGTGACGTTGATTTTGTTTCAGCTCCTCTCCCCCCTTCCCTTCATAATTTTGGTTTGTATGTGTTTTCTCAGTTAACATAGCTAATAGCTCTTATTTTCTTAAGTTTTTAACTGCTTAGGTCTTTCTGGATGTAAGGGTAAAAATTCATTTGACAGACTTGTGTATATTTAAAGACCCAAATGCTCCTTTGGAGCTTGTACGTTCAAGAATGATTAATCTGTGTAATAAACTGATTACTACAGTCATTACATATAACTGTGTGAATAGGCTTAATTTTTTTATGGGCTAAGATTTAAAGTCTATAGTTCTTGTTTTTTAGGAAGTTGCATTTGAGAATAATCAGTCTTTAAGCTTCATCGCAGAATAAACAAGTCAGTGAGACAAACTTCAAGTAGGGTGTGAAAACACCAACGTCCATGATAAACTGGAATCTGGAAATCTGAATGCCTGTATGTCAGATCTTGACTGTTAAGCCAGAAAAGCAACTTGCTGATTGAAGAACATTTCAGAAAGTTCTGTTTAACATGGGACTAAACCTGTGCCTGTGTGCCATAGCGAAGGGATTCCTTGTGTAATTTTTAAGAATGGGTGTAAAAGGGCAAGGTGGGATTTTTTTTACAGAGGCATCAGCACAGACTAACACAAAATATAGCTTTTAAAGACTGTTGCACTAAATCACTTGGAAATGTTCACTGTACATGAAATATCTTTGGATGGCATTCATTTGAAAAATAGTAAAAATGTAGTTTAAAGTTTACTTGTTAAGCGAGTGTCTCTCTCTCTCTCTCCCCCCCCCCCCCCAACCTTAAATGTGAATAAGTATAATCTGCAGTGGAGAGGTGCCGGGCTCTATCTCATTCAGCCACAGTTCTCTTCCTTGTCTATTTTCAAATACCCTTGCACAGTTAAGGAATAAATGTCCACTACTTGTTATATATTTTTTCCATGGGTTCTCTCTTAATGTTCCTTGTTTGTGGATCTGACATTCTGTTGGAGGTTCCTACCTGTTCTTTGAAAAAAAAAGTCCGTTGTTAAATTTTCAGTTTCCAAGAACAAGTCAGGCAGTCTACAACTTTGTGATAATATTACAATTTTTATATCTTGCCTTTCAGACCCACCAGGAATTCTTTATACTTGTATAGCAAATATTTAAAGTTTACATTTAAAATGCTTGGAGTTTCATAAAATTATCTCAATCCTCTCAGCAACCCAGCTAGAGAATCCAGCATTATATCAAATTGCTGTTGAAGAAGGTTGCTTGATGAGGGACACCCAATGAGCTGATGGTTGGACTGAGACTCAGATAAGAGCTCTGGACTTGCAACTAATTCTCTTCAGTCACGATACAACTAATGGCCTACTGAATCCTTCTGTGTACAGGTTTCTGGTCATAATGAGGAGTTGTAGATTTGGATAGTAGTATAACCTCGTCTATGAATAAGACAGAACAGTGCCTAAACATTTCTCCACATGACTACTTATGTGCTATATGGGCAGAACTAATTTGTTTTTGTTTTTCTGGCCTATTGGAGATTAGGTTGTGTGTTTATTCAGCCTACATTATTCTGGTTGAATTTTTATCCAAGCTGCTCTTCAGCTTCAGTGAGAACAGGAAACAACTTACAAATACTTAGCTTGAAAAGTAGAATGAATGGAAGGCTGAATGTGGTAAAAAGAAAAAGTGCTATGGTTGAGAGGCAAAGACAAGGCAAGGACAAAGCCCTTCAGACTGCAGTTCAGAGTGACAGGGGAACAAGGGGAGAGAAAGGGAGGGATGGTGGAAGGCTTGGCTACTCAGGAGAATTGGTCTACACAGGATTAAATATTTTACATAGAAACAACCAATCTATGTACATGGCACTTTTGAAACAAGGAGTAACCTTAAAAATCTAAAACAGACCAAAGGGACCTAACTGCAGAAGAGAGACTGAAATAGTGGGGAAACAATTAAAGTCATACTTTGGTTGTCGAATGCCCTGGAACTCGTCCATTTTGGCTGCCGAACGCCACAAACCCGGAAGTGACTGTTCTGGTTTGCAAACTATTTTTGGAAGCCGAACGCTCGACGGGGCTTCCACAGCTTCTGATTGGCTGCAGGAGCTTCCAAGGTACAACTGTATTTGAGTTGCTCACTTAGGTATAGTTGCATAGGGTATATGGACAATGCTAATTAGCAATGCTAATATTTTCCTGTTACCAAGTTTCCCACTTGTGCCAGCCAACAGTGGTGAGTAGGAGCTGCAAATCGTAGAACGCTGGTAAGTGGCCCTGTGAATTGCAAGAACATGCTTGCTTTTGCAGCAGTATGCCATTCTTGCCCATAAAGTGCCACTAGCAACATACTTTATTATTAGTGGCACTTTATGCAAGTAATCTTGGATATGGAAAAGGTGAAGGAAGAGGAAATATGAACTAAGCTGTTGGCTCAGCTTGCAGATCTAGCATTTAGGTATGAGGAAAAATGGGTATATGAAGTGGGGGAGAAATACTGCCTTATGTGTGAACCTTTTGAATCTCTTCATCTTACTTATTTCCCAGATGGTAAACATACACTAAACCTTATTTTGATTTTTCCTATGAACACTCTGGTTTCTGAGATTCCTGCACACACATTTTCAAGCATGTTTTTGCAGTCACAAAAGCTTTAGAGTTGTGCAAAAGACAACCAAATGCCACATGCTAAAGAAACCAAACTGCACATTTTCTGTGTTCCAGAATTTGACACAAATGCAACCTTCTGATCAGGTTTGTGGTGTAAAGTATTTAAAAACTAAGGTAAACTAAAGTTCAGCCCTTCCAGGAAGCAGAACATGTTTATATACTACCAAGTATTTGATAGTTGTGCCTTAGTCTAGACTATTTCACACTCCGAAATGTTTTTAGAGGAATAAATTATTTGAACTCCCATGTATTTTTCTGCTCCATTTCACAGTTAAGCAGGTAACCTCATAAAACACTCATGGCAAAAAAGCAATACTCTGAAAAGTTCTGAAGCCTGAATTTATCCAGTGCACTTGCCAAAGCAGGCATTGTGTTTCGTTCCATTGCAGAGTTGCGATGTGGCAGCCCTGCCACCACCAGCCTTTTTTGCTGCTCTTCTTGAGGGAATGGGGTGCCTGGAGGCAGGGCTTCCCACGCCTTGCTCCCTTCATCAGACTTAGTTGCAATGAGCTTGGCCACGTGGCTGTAGCCAGTGTATCCTCTTCCCCACCTTTTATCTCCCTTCTCTAATCTGATAGGGATGCAGACAGATTTAGGCAGGTATTGTTCTCTGCCCTTATTAGTCCTGAAATGCAGCTACAGGTCAGCCTAGTTTTGGAATCAGGTCCCAACCAGGGCCAGCCCACCCATGTGGCAAGGTGAGGCGACTGCCTCAGGCCGCCTTCCCTGGCAGGGAGGGTGGGCACCATTTTGTGGTTCAGGTGCAAAAATGTCCTGGGCTGGCCCTGGTCCCAACTCTTAATTAAGAGGATACAATATGTGTTTTGATTGTGACATTAGGACATAGGTCCAGCGTAGCGGCCATTTCTGCTTTCAGGAAGAAGAAGCATCATAATTCAGACTGCCTCAAGAAAGAACTTGCATTGGCTTTGGTTCAAGATATCCATAAAACTACACAGTCCCCATCCAATGTGTCTTTGCTACGCTGCACTGTCCTTTTCTACTTATCAAGAGAAGGGGGGTGGCTGTCTGCTGGATCATGCTGTTAGGGGCTTGGAGTCATACCTTTCAACCCTAGCCCATCACTTGGGGCAGCCAGGCTAAATTCCTTTATTTCCTTTTATATTCCTGAGCATTTGAAGAGCCACAATTTTAATTGAAGTGCCTTCCCCAAGAGACAAATCACCAAGCTTTGTGAACTAGTTGCTTAGTGAAAGGGAAGTATTCACAACAGATCCCACCCCCCATTGTCAAAAGACATTTTAAAATTAATTCTTATTTTTTCTAGTGAGAGTCCAAAACAACTGAGTGCCCTGAAGTTTAAAATATCTGAAACCTAGCTTTCTCATAAGCAGTGCATAGTTGTTTTGACTGGCTTGGAAAAGTAGCTACCCAGATCAATGTAATCAGGCTGGTGTATTACTTCTATTACGATATTCAGAGAATAATTGTCTTTTTTCTCTTGTAAGCCTACTATGGAGACGCAGGTGGCGCTGTGGTCTAAACCACAGAGCCTAGGGCTTGCCAATCAGAAGGTCGGTGGTTCGAATCCCCATGACGGGGTGAGCTCCCGTTGTTCGGTCCCAGCTCCTGCCCACGTAGCAGTTCAAAAGCACATCAAAGTGCAAGTAGATAAATAGGTACCACTCTGGCGGGAAGGTAAATGGCGTTTCCATGTGCTGCTCTGGTTCACCAGAATCTGCTTAGTCATGCTGGCCACATGACTGTACGCCGGCTCCCTCGGCCAATAAAGCAAGATGAGCGCTGCAACCCCAGAGTCGTCCGCGACTGGACCTAACGGTCAAGGGTCCCTTTACCTTTTAAGCCTACTATGGAAGCCACTTGAGTAATAAAATGCCATTCAGCCATCTCTTACAATAGTCAATCTTTGTCCAGCCATAGACGCTACACTTGGATCAATTGGAACGATATCAATTGAAAATGTAATAGAAGAAGCAGGAACTTCAGTCTAGAAATTGACAAATGAAAAAAACCATGTTGAAACCTTAATTGAGAGGAACATGGTTTAGATCCTGAGTACCAGCAAAAGGGGGTTGGTCACAAGAGACTTTCCTGCCCAGCCACCCCCCAACTTCTCCTGAGGGTTGGTGGAGCCTCCTAGATGGAATGAGTTTTGGCTGGGGGTGGGGTTTGAAGTGAAAGGGCACACTGCCAAACAAACAAAAGTGTGGCATCTTTCATGGAAAAAAGCAGAACTTTGTGTACAAATTGCCTTCCGTCTGATCATGATGAACTAATATCAATTGAAGGCCTGTCTGCTTCCAGGGCTGTCTCCATCTGCAACATTTCACCTGGCTGCATCAGAGGAAGAGGTTGAGACAGCAAGCCCCTCTCCATCAGCTGGGCTGTGAGCAGCTTCCATTTAGTTCCTTTCCTCCAAGGTGATGACACAGCTTCAGGGGTTCTTAGATGGAGCAATTTTTCTTGGACCTATTTCAGGCCTTATTTTGAGGCGGACAACTTTCTTTGATGGTCTACACTGAAAACTGCGTCACCTTCTGCTGGCTCTCTTTGTGGCTTGACTTTGTCACCCTTTTCGACCACCTGTCCAGAGTGGGTTTGGGAGGCAATCTTTTGCAGTGGTTCTAGTACTTCTTGGTGGGTTCCTTCCCAAAGGAGGTGATAGAATCTTGTTTTTTGACTTATATGGTGCCCTTAAGGTTCCATCTTGTGCCCCATGCTTTTTAGTCATGGGGATTTGGAGTCCATTGTTATCAATATGTGGCTGACACATTGATCTTTCTCCTTTCTGTCCGATTCTAATAAAGTTGCCGGAGTTCTGAATCAGTGCTTGGAGGTGACAATGGGCAAGATGAGGGTTAAAAAATGTGAAGCTTAATCCAGGCAAGACAAAGGGTGCTCCTTGTTAAGAAAGCAGTTAGTCTGGGAATAGCATTCGGCCTGCTTTGGACAGGGTGACTGGTCTGGTTTTGGCGGTGGGGCAGTGGCTTCCCTTCCCTGGAATATTTTGCTGGCCCTCTCTGTGTTGATACTTTCCATTGTCTAATCAAAACAGTTTTGAATATGTCTTTGACAAGTTCAAGAAACGAAGCGATATAGATGCAGCTGTTTGTGTGATCATATTCAAATATAAGTTAAATCTTAAAGAAATGATAATGGTTGTGATTTTTAAAAATTACTTTCAAGTCTCACCC